CACGGAACAACCACGCGAACCTGTTCCAACGATTCCCATAGTTCCAGATCAGACACCAGGAAAGTCGTAGGCTTCACCAGAGCATGTCCCAATGCTCCTTGATCAAAATGTGCAGCGTACATTCCATAACGCTCGCAAAACCTTTTTACCTCTGGCCAACTCCAGAAGGTAGGACTTGAGAACCCTTTCTGAGAACCATCCACCAGATCCTCAGCACTCAAGACCGTTTGGCCGTTCTGAGAGAAATCTTTCCCTATGAGTTCAGGGTCCCCAGGACTTTCCATGCCAAAGAAGACAGAACTTCCATTGATGACTTCAGCAGTTCCACACCTTGAATGCACCGCCACGTCATATAGGAAAAGCATCTTCAGAAGTAAAACACCATCTTTTTGAGCTAATTCTTGATGTGGCCAAGGAAGACTTTTTAATCCCAACCGTACAGGCCCACAGCGCCGGCGTAATACAGGTGGGCCACCGTCTTCACCTCTCAACCTTGACACTGTCCTGCGTGGAGGTCCTCCAACCACAGCAACCACCTTTCCTTCAGCCGCCAGATGCAGAAGATACTTCCAGATGCTCGAATTATGTAGGTCACCCCCTTTTTTCAAATCCAGCTCCAGTACCTCCACATCCCGACTGGGAAAATGCCATTTTTGCTTTCCCGAAAATAGGTGTACCGCCGCCCTTTTTGCTCGTGCCAGCCGTCTCCTTTTATGACGGTTGAAAGGCAACGCCGCAATATCTCCACGTGGCAACAGCTCCATCAGCATATTTTCTGGTATATCCCCATAATACCACCGAAGAAATCGCCAGCATGCCTGGACGAACTCCTCCTCATTCGCTGACGCTGTCCGCGCTGCGCTTTGCAACGACGCTTTTACGGCCACCTCTCATTGTCCGTATTCGGACACCCTTGAACCATACGTGCCACCTTCAATGCTTGCTTTGGTGAGCACCAATCCATTTCATCAATGATCTGAAGCGCCACCTCGTTTTTCAAACAAGGGCACCCATTCAGATCACGAACGCGAAGTTCCCCCAGAACAGGATGTGAGGCTGTGCACTTGCCACCACGCCACTGAACTCTGAGACCAACCAAAGCGCTCGCTTTGCCAATTGGCACTAGTGGATCTACCATTTCAGGAGTTACCAGGGTCCCACCTGGGGTAATACACATCTCCCGAGATCCAACAGCTAAAGACACCAACACCTTTTGCTGCGGAAGCTGTTCACCAGGACGAAGTGATCTGAGAGGATGTGATGCTCCCGAGTCCAACATGCCCATTCCCGAACACTCATTGGTGTCAGAAACCCTGGCCACATGTAGAACGCATACTCCTCGGCCTTCTCCCTGCTTCGGCAACAACGCGGCATCAGACGAACCGACTCCACAATCCGCCCTTCCATTCCTCCATTGAGAATGAAACCATCTTTTCAGCTGTTTTGTAATCCATAACCAAACAGCCATGTTCAAACCACAAGAGCTGGTCCAGCGAAGATTTTGCACCCACGTGACACATCCCATTGATCACGGTGAGGTTCGCCCCAAACTCAAAAATCAACCAGAGAGGGATAATCAGAGGCCCATTGTCTTCCCTAATCAACGTCCCTTTCTCTGTAATCCTCATTGTCACACCACCAAGCGCGCTTTGCACCATAACAGTAGTGTCGGGTAAACATTCCCATGGAAAAAGCGTCCGCGCAAGATGCGTAGCAGCTGTATCCACCAACGCCACTCTCCCTTCCTGCTGAAACAACCCAGAGTCACATAACATTCGAACACTGGGATCCCCGCTTGATGCTGACTGCGCTGATGACAGTTTCATAGATTTCAGCACCTCTAATGCCTCAGCAAGGACCTGATTGGGTGTTGATGGTGATGAGGGACTTGCAGAACCTTTCTCCAATCCCGCATTAGCCGTCTCATCTCCCCCTTCAGCCACCTCTGCCTTTTTGGCATTTCCCCATTTCGCACCTTTGCCGCCCTTTCCCCCTTTGGGAGAATTCCCTTTAGATCTATTCCTTTCAGGATTTGAGTCCACATTGGAACTTGCACCATCTTTATATGGACACTGCGGCTGTAAATGGCCAATGGCCCCACATTCAAAACATCTTCCACGCTCCAGGGAGTCCTTGTCATGGCGAAATTTGCAGCGTGATCCGAACTTGCAGCCTGCTTCTGTCTTCCCATATATCCAACAGAATGGACGTTCACCATCACCGCTGTACCTTTTTCCTTTCCCTTTTCCTTTGTCACCCTCCTCCGTCTCGTCACCAGTTCCCTTTTGGGCCTTGTTTAACCTTGCCCTTTTCTTGGCGTCCGAGTCCTGCTTCACCTCTTGATCACCAGCACTATGCAATAGCAGTTCAAACTCTGCCTGTAACATTTCAGCTAGTTCTGTCGCAGTTTCAGAGGTCGGCGAGTAGTCCACCCCCAATTTCTCCCGAAAGGATGCCACTCTGAAATGAACCGTAGGGTGTTTTGCCAGCAACGCGGATGATAAACCATCCAATCCCTTGATAAGCAAGGTAGCGTCCGGCTCGGCCGCTCTCAACTCCCTTAATCGGGAACGCCATTGCGCCCATTGACGCACTCCCTTAATGGCCTCTGAGATCGAGGTTGCTGAAGATGGTTGCGCCAAGAAGTTCAACATTGTGCTGCGCTCATTTGCTCCACCTGGTTGGTAGACCGTCAGCAATTTGTAAAATATCATCACCGACCCCAACATTCGAGTGGAAACGATCTCGGTCTTCAATCTCTCCGGAATCGCCTGCAGCAGTAAAGACACTGCTCTCTGCTCCAACAAAACATGCACAGTTCGGACCACCTTGAGTCCTTCCAGCTCAGCCTTGATGCCCAACCTTTCCAGCGGAGAAACACTCAACCATTTGGCATACGCCTGATACGCCTTTGAATAGACGCATTGCCACCACACCCTTCCTGTATCTGTCAGCGAAGACAACATTGGCTCGATCATTGCGATCCAATCACCTAGTGCTGTCGGATTGCTTGGTGTGTAGTCTGCCAAAGTAGGAAGGCTCATCACATGCTTCCCAAGAGCCTCCGGACGTTCAGTTCCAGAACTATCACCAATGATTGGCATACCGCGTGGCACCACTGCTCCAGGAGGTAAGCTGACCCTACCACCAGGCCCTTGAGGCAGTCCATGTCCTATACCAGGCGTAACAGCTGTGAGCGGAACCTTTTCTAATTCCAACTTCCCAGCGACCATTTTCCACCGATACGGAACATCATCCACCATTGTATATCCACCCGATCCTGCTGAGTTCTCTTGCGTCGAAGTTTCCCGAGCTGAAACAAAACCGGGCTGGTTCCCCATAGGTGCGGCAGAACCATCAGCACCTGACGGCAAGGAAGTTTTCGGAGCATGTGTTAAACCAGGTGGTCCACTTGCATATCCACCACTTGCAGGACCACCCATGGGGTAATTCAATGGAGGCAATCTGGAGGGTTTCTTCCCTTCAGCTACATGCATCATTGGCACTTCTTTTTCATCCTCCACTTGAGCATCCCCCTTCCTGGAGCCAGGCAAGGATTGAAGATCGCAACCCTTTGGCAGGTCGTAGCCCTCAATAGGCAGCCATGTCCCATCAGGCAACACAGTCCAAAAACCACCCATACCATCAGTGTAGAAAACTTGTCCTGGCGGGTACTGCTTCTCTGGAGTCATTCCCAAGGGATATGCAGCATTTGCGTCCACCACTCCAGTGCTCCGTGCTCGCGAAGCTGACCCAGATGCAGCAGAGGTATAGCTTTTCTCCTCCACCCGATGCAACCTGTTCCCCAGCTCCTTTGTTTGCACAAGCAACTCTTTAAGCGCACGCTTTACCACTGCCATATCTTCACTTTGTTCTTCACCACTCACATCAGGAATAAGCTCTTCCTCTGCTTGCGCTCCACCAATAGTACCTCGTTCCATCTGGCCCATTAAGCCTGACGATGGTCTCTCAACAGGTGCAGGTTCCTGACCCGTAAGATCATGTAGCGATGGTGGCCTCCTCGTAGTTCCACCACTCCTATCCCCTCCGCTTGCAGGAAGACTTGCCGGCCTTGATTGCCTCAGTCTCATTTCTTCTTGAGCCCGCTCGCTCCAGAAAGGATTTGCTGCTGGAACCGGAACCACTTCATTTTCCACCTGAGACGTTGGTTGTATCATTGCAACCTCCCTACCATCTGTCAGCGCTTGTACCACTTGTTGTCGTTCTTCACCCCCATCACCACGATTTCCTTCGACTTCATTGGCCGTGGGTGACAGTCCAGGCTCAGAGCGACGCCGCATCATGTCCATGGCGTTAAACAAACGAAAATCTTTACCTATACCGCAGGAAGCCTAATTTGGGCTCATAACCTACGGGGGGCAACCAAAGGGAGACAGGAAACCAAACAGTCAACCCCAGAAGAAGCCCTTAAGCTCCCCGGACCAACCACAAACCAAACCCAAAAGACCAAGCACTCTTCTTTCACTAAGTGCATCGTCATCTTGAGCCAAAATGGTTCCGGGTTCATTGACCTTTTCCCTTCCAACACCAACTCTTTCCTGAATACAAATTGCAGCTCCGCACCCTAAACCCTAAACCCTAAACCCTAAACCCTAAACCCTAAACCCTAAACCCTAAACCTAAACCCTAAACTCGAAGCCCTCAACCCTGCGCCCGAAATGCTGGGGGGGGGGGGTTCGCCGGGACACGTTCGTCGGGCGTGTTCTCCCCAGGGCCTTGCGAACTTGACCTAGAATGCTCAGGGCCAAACTGGAAGGCCGCACCCAGATGTCAGTCTTTTAGGCTTTCTGGGGTTTTTCGTTGTTTCGGGTTCAGGGTTTAGGGTTTCGGGTTTCGGGTTTAGGGTAACAGGATTAGTTTTCAGGGTTTTGGGGATCTCCTTGGGGCGTTTGCTGGCGGAGTTCAGCCGCTCTTGGTAGGGTTTAGGGTTTAGAGGTTAGGGTTTAGGGTTTCGGGTTCAGGGTCCTTCTCTGCCACAGGTGGAGCTGATCCAAACATCCTCCATCCTCGAGTGGAGAGCTGGCAAGGCCTCTCCTGGTGCGTTTTTTTGATTGGGAGCCTAGTCCCGGTAGAGGGATCCGCCCTAAACGCTATTTGTGGGAGAATTCCCGGAAACACCCCTATGGCTCAGATTTAAACTCCCTCGACCCTGAAACCCCCAACCCCTAAACGCCAGCCCCTAAACCCGAACTCTTCCGTGCGTGGAGGTTGCGGAGCCACCTGCTGGCCCAGATGTGTGCGGGCCACAGCTCAGCCACTCACATGGCTCCCGGAGCTCCCATACCTGGTTCCTCCGAGGTTTATGGGGGTCTCGAGAGGACTTGGATCAGGGTTTTACGAGGGGTTTAGGAGGTTTATAGGGGAGTTTTCTCATGGTCTCCAGAAGGGCTTTATGAGGTTTAATTCTAGGGGCTTGTAGGGCTTCTCTGAACTCTGGGCCCTTCTTCCTGTGCGCCTAAGTATCCTAGATATGTAGGAATAGGTGCCCGAAACGGGGAGCTTCACTGGAGGGAAACCTAAACCCTAAACTCCCTACACCCTAAACCCTAAAACTTGAACCCTAAAAAACCCTAAAACCAAAACCCTAAACCCTAAACCCTAACCCCTAAACCCTAAACCCTAAACCCTGCCATCGTGCAAGGTTCGAGGACTCTGGCACCACTGCCGATTCCCTTTCTGCATCATCCTTCGTGGAGGTGGCTTCCGAAGAGGCCGCCGTGTAGGGTTCAGGGTTTAGGGTTTAGGGTTTTAGGGTTTTGGGTTTAGGGTTTAGGGGTTCAGGGTTTAGGGTTTAGTGTTTGGGGGTTCAGGGTTTAGGGTTTAGGGTTTAGTGTTTGGGATTTAAGGTTGACTCAGACCCCCCAGACATTTCACCACGTGTGTGCACTTGTGGAGCAGTCATTCAGCTCTTTGCAGATCTCAATCTTTCAGCTGGAGGACGACGTCGCCATGAAACCTGACATCCCACCCCCCACAAACCTGTGCATCTGAACCGGACAGCCGAGCACGCAACCTGAGTACCAGGTGCAGTAGCGGCAATCTGTCTACATGCAATGACCTAGGCGCGACGCTCGCTGATTGGGGAGCTGCTGAGCCGAGACGTGCAGGCTGTGAGGGGTGCAGGGCGCGAACATGGCAAGGAGCGGGAAGGAATGGACCAGATGTGATCAGCGCATGCAAGATGAGGTTCAGTGCCATGAAGCAGACGAGAATGGCAAGCGTATTCCCAGCAAATTTAGCACAGATTGCCCATCTTCAGGATCGCAACCAGTGTGCATGGGCATGGCAGCCCTAGGCAGCAATTGTACGAACACCATGCTTGGCATGTGCAGCAAAGTGTTCCTCGACACATTAACCTAAGACTCCCACTGAATTCCATTCGATGCAAGCCTGAGAATGGATTCCTGGGCTGATGGTTTTTTAGTTTAAGGTTTAGGGTGTAGGGTTTAGGGTTTAGGGTTTAGGGTTTGGGTTTAGGGCTGCGACACCCCGGGCCTTGAAGCCATCCGCCTAAGCCCATCTAAGCCCTGGCAGGCACGACTGCAAGAGTCATCGGGCAATTCAAGTTCTACGACCACCGCCGCGAGCTCCTGGGATGCGCTTCTCACGGTGTAGAGCCCTTCCGAAATCTCCTTACGTGTCTGTGTGTGGTCTGACGCCGGAGGCTCTTGCAGAGCTCGGTAATCCTAAGTTTGAGACAGCCCTGGCAGTGTGAGTCAGCGGTCTCAGATCACAGGCTGCTCTTGTCGTAGACGCTGTCAGGTGCCTCATCTACGACGGTGCATCTTGGCTTGAGGTACCCTTAGGCCCTAACCCTAAATCCCAGGATCCAGTTTCTGGGCTGTGCATGTGCAGTCGCGAGCCCTGGGAGGAGAGCTTGAGACTCCTCTGCCTTTCTCAAGTCTTTTCAAACCCCGCGGCGCCCCGGAAACGTTCAACAACCCTTTTCCTCAACCCTCAACCCCCTCAACCCTGAACCCGGAACACTGAACCCTCAACCCTCAACCCAAAACCTGCCCAAACCTGAGTTGCGCCGGAGACCTGCAGAGCTCTAGGCTGGCCATTGGCAACTCCGAGGGGGATCTGGTGGCGTTCCTGGTCGCGCCGCACAGCGCAAGCTTAATGGAACTGTTGGCATTTTGAATTCAACGTGGTTTGTAATGATAGAGGTTTAGTGCTTACCTACATGGTTTGTGGGCAGTACGTAATTCTAGAGGTTTAAGTACTACATATCGAGCGACTGCCTGCGAAGGCTGGGTGTGAACGTCGGGGCGGCCCTCCTCTTCTGCTGCTCCTTCGCTTGCCTTCGTCGCAGCCATGGCCTGGTGTATGCACGGAAGGCGCCCGAGCTTCAAAACGGGAGGGTCTTCATGTGCTTCACGGGGTTTAGGGTTTAGGGTTTAGGGTTTAGGGTTTAGGGTTTGCTTCCGACTTCTTGGAGAGCAGCGTCCCAAGAAGTTGCCCTCCCCGAAGGCTGAGACACCAGGCAGCCACGGGATGCAGCCGCCGGACGTGAGTGGCTTTTGCACCTGGGCCGTGGAGTCCTGGAGGCGCGTTGTTTGGGGGTGCAGCTGGAAGATGGTTTCTTTGGAGCGTTCTGGGCGCCAATTTAGGATGTTCCTCTGCCATTTTCCTTGTTTTTGTGGTTAGAGTGTTCTATTTTTTCTGTGGTCGTTTTTTTTTGAATGCTGAGCGGCTTGGGATTGAGGGTTTCAGACCCCCTTCGTCAACTGTCTGTCTCACTGGCAGGCTGCCGGTGGAGGAGGTTGCAAATCACGCCAATCTGGATCATGGAATGTTTGTTCAATTCTGCGACACGGCAATCATGTGCTTGCTGTCCCCGGCTCAGCCTGTTAGCGTGCAGCATTGACGGGTGCAGCTTGCCGGTTGGGGCCTGCTGGGTTGAGCCTTCTCTTTTCATGGTGACGCCATCTATCTGCTATACTAACGACCGAATTTGAACTTGCGATCCTCTTGATTTTCATGATTTCCTCTGCTGCTGAACGGTTTTTTTGTCAGCACTGACTTACTTTCACAGACTCAGGTCGTCCGGGCTCCCTGCCATTCTGATTCTCTGCCCGGCGCACTTCTTCGCCGGGGGTGGCGCTGCTGGCTCGGACAACCTCAGCCGCGTGGGCTTTGCCAACGTGGTGCAGGGCAGCGCCTTGACCTGGTTGCATCCCTTCTTCGTGTGGTACACGGTCATCGTCACCCAGGCGCTCCTTTTGTATGCCTCTTGAGTGCCCGGTATAGTAGGCCGAGAATACATGCTTCAGCAGCGGGTCCAAACCTCCACATAACCCAAAGATCGAAACCCGCTGAAGTATGTCCCCGACTGAAAGTTTGGTTTTCTCTGGGTGCCCGCATTGGTTTATGTAGGTTGCATATGTAGAGGAGCAGCAGCGATTTGTGCGATCTCTTGTCTACTGAGTCTATGCAGTGCTCAGCATGAATTGAACTCGTAGTAGTCCCTGCCATGCTTTTTGAAACTCGTGCTGGACCGCGGCCGCAGTAGGCTTAGATGTAGGATAGCGATCGCAACACAGGCTTTTGCGACAACTCACCCGTCTTGGCCCCCTGGCTGGCAGGCTTTCCTTCTGCGCGCCCAGCGAGGCTTCGTGCAGAAGCGCTTCCAGTGGCTGAGGCAAGACCCTCAACCCAGAAAGAAGTGACCATTGAGCTCAGCACGAAGCCTTGCACTTGTAGGAATTTAGTGGCAGTGATGCTCTTTTCTTAAGAGCACTCTCTGGCAGGCTAAGCTCTGTTCTGCAGATGCCCCGTTTTGCACCTTCAGTTTAGCTACCTCCCACTTCACATCCCTAAACTTTATAAAGAAAACCTTCAAACCTTTGAATAATCCCTCAATATTTCCTTTAAACCCGAAATGAACCCTGGGTCAAAGTCGCCTCGCTCTTTGTCAGGACCATGCCAGAGCCTAGGGCCAACTCCGTGCTGCTGCATAACATACCTCCAGATCTCCGCCAGGACCAGTTGAGTTCGGGGGTTTAGGGTTTAGGGTTTAGGATTTGGGGTGTAGGGTTAGGGTTGATTGTTTATGAGTTGATGGGGGTTTGCTGTAGCTCCCGGCCCCTGTGAAAAGGAGGCATCCCTGCGAAATTACCTCCAAGAGCAGATCTTCGGTGTGTCCGACGGACGCTGCTTGGAGCAAGGGTGAAATGAAGCCCGAGCACTTGCAGCCCCTACTGTAGCAGCCCAGAGCCTTCCACTTCCCGCAGTGGCTTTGTCAATATGAGAGGAATCTTATGCTCCTAATTCCCAAGCCCCTAGTTTGCTTCGGAGAACCAGTATTCTGAGGCTCGGTCGTGCGGTCGCTCTATTTTTTGAAAGAGACATCAGAGCTGGATCCGTTCCTCAAGCAGCGGCACCTGCTTGTGCAGGAGTGGGCGCTGTTCGATGCCTGGGTGGTTTGTCTGGTGTGGTGGCACTTGTCTTCGTGGATCTCTCACAACCACCCGGCCCCCATAAGAAACCGCTGTGGGGCCTCGCCCTTGGGTGGAGCTGTGTGCCTGTTTTGTGGGTGCTCCATGCAGGACCTGCAGAGGATGACGAAGGCGATGCTTCAGAAAGAGTCATCTGTGTTCGAGATTCTGCGATGAGAGAGAGAGAGAGAGAGGACCGCACGCGCCCCTGAGGGCGGCCTCCCTTCGGGGGGGTCATGCGTGGGGGAGAGAGAGAGAGGACTGTAGAGAGGAGGTGAATCTTGGAAGAATTGCATCTTGAGGCTTCAGAGCATGAGAGGCGCCAAGCGGTCTTGAATGCCGAAATCAAGAAGGCACGAGCCCCGCATGTCCCGCCTGCGTTTTATGAATGAGTTTAGGGTTTAGGGTTTGGGGTTTAGGGTTTAGGGTATGGCAAGGACTGCTTTCGCCAACTCTTGGCAGGTTGATTCGCAGCTGGCGAAGCAGCAGGAAATCATCGAGCGCAGTGACGAGTACAACAGGGACTCGGCGCGACCAGACCGAACCATCAAGGCTTAGAGCCCGTCAGTCGAAGAAGGAGGGGTCGTTGAACTTATCCGTGGTCTGCAGAGATCTCTGCACCATTTTAGTGTGACGTGCTCTGACTGCTTTCTGCCACGGGTTCAGTCGTTCCGCCCTTGGAACGGCAGAGGTTCGTGACCTTCGAGATTCGGCACGACGCGGTGATCGTTCTCAAGCTCTTCGCGGCAGACGGGCATGGAGGGGAAGACCTCCTGGAACCTCGGCTCTCCGTACCTCTTTCAGGGCCTACAACCCCTCCACCGAATGTTCAAGTTCATCTCCAAAGTAGGTCCTACAGCTACTGCGAAAGCACTGTGCTTTTGTTCTTGTTGTGGCGAGGGGGTTTCATCCCCAAACGCCAACACCGACACTTTCAGGCCGAGCTGCCTCCGGACCCTGACGACGTCATTTGGGCGGATCTTCTGGCCCCAACCCGCCTGTCACTTGCCTCAGCCCACAAGGGATCACAGGGGTGTTGATCTAAAATATGCCTTCCGGTACCTAAGCTGTACAAGGAGCTTGCTGGGAGTCTATTGCCAAAAGGAGCCGCAAAAGGACCACAGAGTCTAGGTCAGCCCTCGACAGCACGGAGTTTCCCGCTTCCGGAATGCGGCTGCCTCGCAGCTTCAGGCAGTGGCTGTGGGATGCCCTGGGCATCTTCCTATTGCTGCTGGCTGGTTTGGTGATGGTACCGCTGGCCAGCGGCCCAGATTGCCCCAAAAGTCCTATGCAGCAGGGCCTGTGGGGCCCCAAAATCCCCTAACACATGAGTCCTTGGAAGCCTTTTTGGGGTTCTTGGGCCTTCCTGCAAGTGAGCTCTGCATCGTGCTCCCTCTAAACCATCTCGAGGTGGTGGTGATTGCCGGCCTCAGTTCGGTAAAGAGTTTGGAGACTCCTGGATGCAAGGGGGGTTTGGGGGCTTTGGGTTTGCCTCAGGTTCACTTCGAGAGCCCCCAAAAAATTTTCAGGGGTCTCTTGGTAAAGGAACGACACACATTCCCAAACCCCAAGTGAGTGGTGTTCTTGCTTAGTCCGCCGGCGATGCCCACTGAGCCTTCTGTACTTTTGTGAGCTCCAGGGCGCAAGATGCGAACCTCGCTGCGTTCATGGATAGGAATCCCGTGTCCCGGCTTTGATGGGATAGGCGGGGGGGACATAGGGAGACGGACCAGCGACTCAGCGACTCAGGTTCCTTTCGCCATGCTCTGGGTCCGGTAGTGAAGGACAGAGACAAGTGCAGATTGTCGCCATCAACCAGCCCCAAATCCAGCGCCTGAGGCCGTGCCAATCTTCTGGAACGGGCTTCTCGGGCCGTTTACTCTGAGTCTCGCCTAAGTTTGGCCCGAAACCTCACAAGCTAAATTGGCCCAGTTTGAGACTTTAGAACAATCGGTCTTCAGCGCAGAGAGGCCCCGAATCATTTCCTTGGGTTCACGGGCTTATGCTCTGTTCAGCGGATTCAAGGTGAGTTGCAGGCTTTCCTCTGTCTCCCGGAGGTGTCATCGGAAACAGATTCCGTGGGAGTTCTTTCCAGGACTCTGGTTATGAGCTTCCTCCCTGCGGTCTTGACTCTGATCCTCGGAACCTTCTTCATGCTGAAGGCCCGGCCGCTGGTGGTGAGCTTGGGGCGATATCTGGTGGGATATTCAAACCCAAACCCTGCACCCTAAACCCTAAACCCTAAACCCTAAACCCTAATCCCTAAGCCCTAAGCCCGAAACCCTCCTAGCCCGAATCTGGTGCGCCGGCTCCTACAGATCTCCTGGTTTGGTCAGCCGGGTGTTTCAAACGGGTGGGGACTCTGGAGGGGCCTTGGATGGCAAAGGCCGCAACACCACAATCCCTGAACCCTAAACCCTAAACCCTAAACCCTAAACCCTAAACCCTAAACCCTAAACCCTAAACCCTAAACCCTAAACCCTAGCTGTAAGCTCGCCCGAAAAGGAGTGAAGGGTTGTTAAGAAAAAAAACCCTAAACCCTAAACCCTAAACCTAAACCCTAAACCCTGGACCCTAAACCGCGAAACCGCGGTCTCTTCTTGTGGGTCCCCTCCGCGCCTCATCCTCTCAGGCCCGGGGTTGGCTGCAGCAGCTTGCCTGATCATCCCGATCTTCAGTTTTTGGCGGGGGTAGTTGAGAGGGCACTTTTTTGGGGGTCTCGGGCTGAGGGCTTCTAGGGAGTAGGGTTTTTTTTGGGCGTTTAGGTTCTGGGGGGATCCAGGATCCAGGTTTCGGAAAGTCAGGGTTTTCAGAGTCTCGGCATGGCTAGGGGTTTTCGCAGTAAGTAGTGCTCGGGTCTATTGGGATCATAGATCCCGCACCTCTGCCGAGGAAAAAGAGTTTCTACGCATTAGCTCATCAGGTTGCAGGCAGCTGCCAGCATTGACGATGTTGCACAACACTGCAAACTGCAAACTCAGCGGAAGCTCTGAGCCCTAAACCCTAAACCCTAAACCCTAAACCCTAAACCCTAAACCCAAATCCCTAAACCCTAACCCCTAACCCCTCAACCCTAAACCCTAAACCCTAAGCCCTAAGCCCTAAACCCTAACCAAAGCTGGGCTTCTTTTGCTTCCAGGTATCGGGTTCAGCAGTGGTACTACATGTACCAGATTCTGCTGGTGCTCTTCGTCACCTCTGTGGGCGCTGCCTTGTCGGGCGCCCTAAGCTACCTGTTGAAGAACCCCTTGGAGGCTCGGCGCATACTGGAAGTTCGATGAGGCCGAAGAGTTCCAGTGCGATGTTGCAGTATGATGAGCACAAGTTTATGAATCTAATGAAGCCCATTCTGGATGAGCATGTATGCATCTTCCAAGGAGATTCCGCAGATGCTGGCAACCACTTTTCCAACCTGTACGCACTTTTACATGAACTATGTGGTGCTGTCGGGGACCTGGCGAGAATAGGGGCAGGCAAGTGGCTGATGTCGAGCCCTCGTGCATGAGAGCTGCTGTGTCTAAGCCCAGACCGTAAGTGGCTGCTTGCTTGCCGCGACCGAGGCAAATCGGTGTTCACGTCTTTGGGTTGATGCGCCTCTTCGTGCTGACAAAGTTCTTGTTTTACCGGCAGCTCGGCAACAATGGCATCGGGATTTGAAGTAGGCCGTGATCCCGAAGGGCGCCACTGAGTAGCTACTGCGCAGGCACTGCAGAATGCCAGCTAGGACTTGCAGTAGGACCCCCTGCGGCACCAAACCAGATGGGGACTCGGGTACCTTATTGGGGTCCTTACGATAAGGGGATCCTACTATTTGGGGATCTAAAATGGGGGTCCCCCTAATTTCGTAAACCCCCAGATGGGTTGTGTCACTGCCAGACATCCTCTGCGTGGACCCTTCAAGAAGCCAAAAGGTTGACTCTGGGCTATCAGCGCCCTATTTTTCGGAGACATAGTCGCCATGAGGTTTCCGAAAATAGGGGTACTCTGTTTTGGGGGTTCCTGTAGCAAGGGGGTACCCTTACTGTTGGGAAATGCCCCATGATGCAGGGTAATTCCTCAAATGAGCAATGTCCCTGTGTCCAGGTGCTTCTTCGAGGACAGCTCCAGAGCGTGCTGCCCCTTTGGGGTTTCTTGAGGGACCCGATTCTCCTACCCCTCATCCTGCGTCGCAGGACTTGACGGCCCTGCAGCGCGCGGAGCCGGAGGATCAGGAGACCATGTTACTACATTACTATATTACTATGTTACAGCAGCACATTTACATTATAACATTTCTGTAGTACTATAACTCTGTATTCTATACTTGGGTTTTACCAGAGAGCAAGGGGGGGGGGGGAGGCTGAGGTAGGAAGAGCGAGACAAGAGATGCGCTGTGGACATTCTTCCCTGCTAGGTTGATGCATTTGGCTTTTGTTTGGGTTCAGGTTTTTGGGAAGAGAGTGATTTACCTGACTGTTCTTTTCGAAAGCACAGCTTCAAGTTGAGTTTTACAAGCACTCCAACACACATCTCGTCAACAAAATTGCAAAGGTGCAGCCTGCATAGCAATATTCATATACAAATATAGTAAATAGAAAATTTCGAATATAGTAGTACAGAAATACAGTCATATAGCAATATAGTAACGTACCTTTTACCATTACAATACGAAGACGTTACATGTAGGGCCTCAAGGGCACCATTTTCGAGAATCACCCAGTTGACAGCTTAGCTTTTGGGCCGCCGCCATATCCCAGGTCTCTCAGTAGTCTTTGTCTCGGTGCCTTGCCTTATCCTTGTCCAAGTCTGTATAGGCCCGATATGATTCCATTTGTCGACCTATGCCTGTATGCAGATCCAGATTCACGCTGTGTAGGGTCTTGCAGCAAATGAGACGTGCGAGTTTTAAGTGGACCTGCATCATCCTGCATCTCTTGAAGCTGCAACGCGCAGGGCAAAATGCTGTGTAGTCTCAATGCCGTAGAGTTTCCCTTGACCACGCAGCCAACCTCTTCTGGTTCGATGTTTAGTGGGCTCGTCAACCAGGAGTACCATGGCATGGGGTCACGAAGTGCGCGTATGACGCTCTTGTATGTGATCGCCCTGGTGTTCAGCAGCCTGGCCGAAAGAATGCGAACTTGTTTGCAGGCCTTGGGTGAATCGCTGTCTAGGGATTGTGGAAAAGTGGAGCCAGACCCTGCATTATGAAGTTATTCAGCAACTGGAGATTTGCCGTTCTGGGGCGGGAATGCATCTGGAGAGAGCGAGGTACCCTCTGCCCACTGATCACAGTCTTGGCGGCAGTGACCTTTGCCGTTGCACGTGTGGTCTATACGTACCTGTGATTCGGCAGCAGCCTCCACGGAGATGGGCGTGGTGACGTAGTGGGTCCCCAGTGTGCCATGCGTCCTAGCGTGGCGTCCCGAAGGTTTGTGTACGCGGAGATGCTGAAGCCAGATCTGGGAGGTCTCTTCTGGTCGTGGTCTCAGCTTTGGTTGGGGACATCCCGCATATTCTTGTTGTACAAAAGGCACTTTGCGCTTCTGAGGCAACGGCAGCTGAATCATGCTCAGCAGGGCACCTTCTTGCACCTGGGCACCACATGGGAGGAGTGGATGTTCACACCCTCTCCCCAGCACCCCATGAGAGGTTTATCGGTAGAATCATACCACGATATTGTCTTGTTTTTGTTGTCTTGCTTTGCTTTTTTGGGGGGGAGTGGAAGTTTTCCTTTTCCTTCTTCTTCCTATTTTGGGGCGGGGAGTATGCCTTCCTCAAAGGTACATCGCGCTGATGACGGCGGTGCTCCTGCAGAGGGCTCCAACCCCATGGCCGGGCATGATCTGCGCCTCCAGCGTGGCTTAGCTCAGGGAGACCAGCTCGCCCCCCTGAATCCGTGGAAAAAAACTCAGGGCAGACCTCCTACTTGTAAAAGGGAGGAAGCCCTTTTGGAGGTACTTAGATGATTCACTAGCACCTGAAGGGCGCTTGGGAGGGTTTCAGTATGAGAGCTTCTGGCTGTTGCAGCCTCCCAAGTCCTCCAATCTGCGCCGAGGCAGTCTTCATGGGCTTCTCCTATTACACGTTTCTCAACAGGCGCCGATTCCCAAGAAAGGGCTTGCCGCGAAGAAGGGGGCCAACTTGTGTCTCAGGGCGCTGGCGAAACACACCTGCTAAGCATCAGGGCAGCCAGCGAACTGAAGATGAGCCTCGCTGTTGTCGCAATCGGAAACCCCCCGCGCTCTCACTGTCAGCCAGCAGATGACGTCAGATTCAAAGGCATGCTGAGCCGAAATCTGTTAAACTGAGCCCTCGATCTTTCGGTGTGTGCTCGAAACTCCAAAGCTCTTTGCCCCCCCTTACGCCCCGTTTAGGGTTTAGGGAAGACCTCGCAGGTTCCGATGGGAGCAGCTCCAGTTCAGCGAAGTCCCTGCGAAGGGTGCCCTTGGCGACTCTGCTGCCCGCATTTGGGAGTTTTTTTGTCTTTTTGTTCCTGTGGCTTTAAGGTGTCGCGTTCTGCGTGGCTTGGGCAGTTGAAGACTTGTTCTTCCCACGCAAATCTTAGGGTAGTTGCCGGTGCCCTTCGTATGGGCCCTTTATTTGGGAGAACCCAAGGGCCGATTCTTCAAAACCCTTAAAAGTTTGGGGGACCATAATAAGGGATCATGTAAATGCTCTTCGAGCAGTATTCAGGCGGACCTCCTATGCAGTACGGTCACTACAAGCAGCAGCTCGACTGAAACTTACGACTGCGGGGGGCCTCATGTTCTTGGTCCTTTGGGGGGTTTGGGTTTTGGGGGTTTGCTTTGGCTGCAGTGCTGACCGATCACCGCAGAGGGTCCACCGGAAGACACCATCAACAGCTGAGTCAGACAGCATTCGCATCTGTTGGATTCACCCCCTCCCCTCCCTGCCCCCTCTGCAGGACCTACACCCTCAGCCCAAACCCAAACCCTAAGCCCTACAGTGCCCTAAGCCCTACAGTGCCCCAAGCCCTATGCCCCAAACCCTCTCTGAACCCAGAACCCCCCAACCTTCCTAAACCCTCCTAAACCCTAAGCCCTAAGCCCTAAACCCCAAACCCTAAACCCTAAACCCTCAACCCTCAACCCTCAACCCTCAAACCCGAAATCCCCCCTCTCCCCCCCTCGAACCTTCAAGCTTTAGGCCGCAGCTGCCTGCGCCGCCTCCGCCGGCGCCGAGCCTGGGCGGAAAAACCACTGGTCCTTTCGGAGAGTTTAGGGTTTAGGGTTTAGGGTTTAGGGTTTAGGGTTTAGGGTTTAGGGTTTAGGGTTTAGGGTTTAGGGTTCTTGGTTGCAAGGTTCTTGGGGGATCTAGGGGTTTGGAGTGCTTAGAAGGTTTGGTCGGGTTTCAGAGGTTTCAGGTATAGGATGTGGGGGGCTACTGCATTGGACAGCAGCAATAGCAACACCAGCAACAATAGCAACAACAATGGGCTCATGGTTAAGGACGGGTCAACCCCCACAAGGTACCCTTAAACCGCTTAAACCTAAACCCTTGCTTCTCTTGCCTCGCCACCTCAAACCCTAAACCATAAACCCTAAACCCTAAACCCTGAACCCTGAACCCTAAACCCTAAACCCAAAATCCCTAAACTCTGACACCCTAAACCCGAACTACACCCTAGGCACCTAGGCAGGCATTCTTGGACAAAGGAAGGCAGGCAGCTTAAGGCCTGTCTCAAAAAGCAAAGCGGAGCGAAGTGAAGCCCTTTGGGGTTTAGGGGTCTAGGGGTTTAGGGGTTTAGGGGTTTTAGGGGTTTAAGGCTTAAGGGTTCAGTGGCTGAGGGTTTAGGGGTTTAGGGGTTTAGGGGGTTAGGGGTTTGGGGGTTTAAGGCTTAAGGGTTCAGTGGCTGAGGGTTTAGGGGTTTAGGGGTTTAAGGGTTTAGGGGTTTAGGGGTTTAGGGGTTTAGGGGTTTAAGGGTTTAGGGGTTTAAGGGTTCAGTGGCTGAGGGTTTAGGGTTTAGGGGTTTCGGGTTTAGGGCTTTAGGGGTTTAGGGGTTTAGGGCTTTAGGGGTTTAGGGGTTTAGGGCTTTAGGGGTTTAGGGGTTTTAGGGGTTTAGGGGTTTAGGGGTTTAGGGTTTGCCCCTGAAGGAAAGAAGTAGACCTCGTCACCCGGGCTGTGACCACCATGCGCCAGCGTTTGAACGTCTGCGGCCCCTGCGGCTTTGACGACGAGGACGCAAAACCAGAATTACGCAGCGTGCAAAGTCATGAAACATGAGACATGCTGTGCTTAGGCAGGCAAGCCTGTTGCCCCTAAACCCTCAGCCCTCAACCTTAAATCCTAAACCCTAAACCCTAACCCCTAAACCCTAAGCCCTAAACCCTAAACCCTCAAACCCTCAAACCCCAAACCTAAACCCTAAACCAACAGGGGCCTGATGCCGACGACATTGCTGCAGCCGCCGCAGCAAGGCAGGCCCGCCGCAGCAAGACCGAGCGCAGCGACCGGCTGGCCCCTCCGGCGTCCATGGATGTCCGACGCGCAAGAACGGAGGGCCTTTGATTGGGTTTAGGGTTTAGGGTTTAGGGTTTAGGGTTTAGGGTTTAGGGTTTAGGGTTTAGGGTTTAGGGTTTAGGGTTTAGGGTTTAGGGTTTAGGGTTTAGGGTTTAGGGTTTAGGGTTTAGGGTTTAGGGTTTAGTGTTGAGGGTTTAGGGTTGGCGAAAGCCAGGAGCCCGCAGTCGAGGTTATTGTCGGCCCTCAGGCACCATGCAAGCAAGCTCTTAGCACCTGCACCGTCGATGGAGTAGCAGCCAGTCGACGCATCTTCTGTTTTGCAGCAGCAGAGGGCCAAAAAAAGCTGCCACGGTGACAGCTGCTTGCACAGCTCCCAGTCCCAGACTGCACACATCTGAGCCAGGGCATGGCATGATGTTCTTACATGCTACACTTCATGGGCCGAAGAGCCCTAAGCCATGAAGCGGCCAGCACCAGCTACCGAAAGCCAGAGCTGTGGAGAAGAGTCCCGAACCTGGTCGCCAGGCCATGCTCCGAAGGTGAACGGGGAGGACCCTTGACTGTGCAGACCCACAATCGCAGCAGCAATCGGTTCAGAGTTCGGGTTGAGGCTCATATGGTGGGATTCTGAATGGCTTCTGTGCACAGGACTATGGAAGCTCACTGAAGCAATCTTCGTCGTACCTTCTCAAAACGGTCGTGCAAGAAAGTCATAGAGCAATAGCAGGCAGAGTGGCAATAGTAGTATCTTACACCGAAGCCCCTCTGGTGCGTGCAGAGTCTAGCGGGCATCTTTCTTTTGTTGATGAGCATCTTCCTTATCAGACCCGTTTAGTCCTTGGAGTCAGATGATGCTTAGAGATCACAAGTATTCTGGCAAAGGTGCTGATTGGATACCCACCTTGAAACGACAAGAGTTTCTGAATGGCAGACTTCAGCCGTCCTAGGCCTTGGTTCGACCATTCAAGGCCCTCGCCCTGAACCACGATGGCTTTAAAGCTGCTTGGGCCAGGCAGTGCCGAAGGAGCCGGCTCATGCGCCTCAACCAAGGGTATGGAAGGCATGGAGCCCAAGATCGTGAACCGACGTCCTGCCATGTTCCACCTTCATGTCCACCTAAGTTCCGAATCACTCAGGCGCGGCGGCCAAAGACCGAAACCACACCGCGGGGCACCTGATGCATCATGTCGCTGCTCTGGATAGTTTTATATAGACGCAGTCGCAGTCGTTGCAACCCTACAAGTTGCACTATCAACGCCCGGCCCCCATCCCCCTCTCAACAGCCTTCGTTGTTGCATGTGGCCTAGGCATCCTCTAAGGGTTCCATATGGATCAAGTAGAGGGGAAAGTCGGGTTTCGGGATCTTTGAGCCCTCTTGGCCAAAAAGCCTCGAGAAGTCGCCTGGGCCCCCGCTGGCCTTTTTGGGCTCCAGAGCCCTTCGGGGCTGGGGTTGCAGCCCGCGGAGCAATGCCGGGTGCTCGGTGCGATCGGTTGGAGGGGCGGGGTTGAGGGCTTTGAATTGGAACTCTGCCTTACAGGGTTATCGGCTGAGGGTCTCGGCTTTCGAAGAGTTTAGGAGCTGAGGAGCTGAGGGTGGAGGGATTGAGAGCTTCAGGGCACACCATCAACCCCCCCAGCCGCAAGTGCCCGACCAGTAGCGAGCTTCAGCCCAAAGGCTCTGACCGTGGCTTCGCCCGAGTAGTTCGAGGCAAGTTGTGCTCCTGGTTCTGGGGTTGTGAGGTTCAGGGGTTCAAGGGGAAGATATCGGATATCTGCGTTGAGGGTTGGGCTCACGGTCTCACAGTTTAAGTCTCACGCTCTTGGATCGCTTGTGACCGTGTGAGGTCTGTTCCTCTGTGCACTTGCTGCCTGCGGTTGATTTCGATGTTGTTTTTTGAGCTCCGAAGTTGGCAACTTGATGCAGTCCGCAGCCATGAAACCGTGAAGGCAGTTTAGGTGCTGGTTGTCTAAGATACGGTCCTTTTTTCGGTACCCGAAGCCGTGAAGGAAGTTCAGGATGCCGGTTGTCTAAGTTACGGTCCTTTTGTGCGGCATTCGAAACGCTAGGGCCGCAATTTTTGACAGTACCCGAAAAGGGCTCCTAATTTCGGGAACCTACCATGTGGAGGGTTTTGGTGCCAAGGCTTGAGGCTGAAACCAAGAGGTATCTAGTCATGGACAGGGCAACTCGACATGCAGAATCGACTTTTCGCCTGTGGGCCTGCAGGGTTTAGGGTTTAGGGTCTAGTCAAGTGCAGGCACACAGCATTACGGTCGATACCAGTCCTGGCACGTGAATTTGTGGTTGCGCAGATCGTTTCAGTGCATCGCAGCTGCTATGACAAGTGCCCACGTCCATGCAGACGCACGCAGGCCTTTGTGCCCGCCTTATTGGCCCACGTGAGTGGGAAACATGCCGGTGGAGCGTGAGAGAGGCTGCTGGGTTTGGAGCTCCATGGAGTTGGTTTAGGGTTTGGGGTTTAGGGCTTGGGGTTTAGGGGTTTAGGGTTTTAGTGTCAAGGCTCCGAGTTTTGCTTCTGGCTCTCGCAGTTGGGTTTCAGCAGGGTTCAAGTTCATCCTTTTTTGGGCGCAAAAGGGTCCCAAAACAGAGGTACCCCTGTTATACTCCAGTAGAACAGAGGCCTCTCGAAGGGACCCCCAAAAAGGCTACCAATATTTTCGGAAACCCCAAAAAGCCTTGGAGCAGCGAAGTCGAAGCGCCCCCCCCGGGACGCAAGGGGTTTTTGGGTTTTTGGCAGTTTTTGGGCGTGGGAAAGCCGATGCGCAGAGTGCTAGAACCTCAAGCCCCCGGCCCCAAACGGCAAGCCCCACAGCCTACACGGAAGTGTACACACTCACACACACACACAAAGATATATATATATATATATATAGGTGCGTATCTATATGTGTGTATATAATCAATAAATACATAAACAAAGAAAAAAGAAAGAAAGAACGACATATATATATATATGTGTATATGTATATACATGTATATATATATACATATATATATATATATATTTATTTATTTATACACATATATAAATAAATATATAAATAAATAAATAAACATATATATATATAGAGGTCTATATATATAGATGTATGTACTGTATTTGTATTGTTTTGTTTTGTACTTCTTGGGATAAAGTTTCAAGATAAATACACACAAAAACACGAGCCCTAACACCAAAGCAGCAAGCCCCCAGTCGCTCCTGCCCGGCTGAAGCGCTCCAACACGGCGGGCGAGAGGCCCGCTGAGCGGGCCGCCCGAGCCCTTGACGCGGGGTTTTCGGCTTAGGGTTTAGGGTTTAGGGTTTATGGGGTTTGATTATGGGGTTTATAGGGTTTACAGGGTTTATGGGGTTTATGGGGTTCATGGGGTTTATGGGGTTATAGGGTTTATAGGGTTTATAGGATTTAAAGGGTTTATAGGGTTCAGGGTTTAGGGTTTATAGGGTTTAGGGTTAAAGGGGTTTAGGTTTTGGATTCCCGGGTTTCAGATTTAGGACTCAGGGTTTGGGTTGTGGCACTGTTCGAAGGAATCCTGTTGTCAACATTTCTTGTAAGGGTGCAGCTCCCCAACAACTGAGTTAGCAGGTCACAATCGTGATGATCCCCCGATTACTGGCAGATGTAGCCCCCCCCAACACAGTGACCCAGGTAGCAGCCTTACTTCGCCAGACTCGTCTTGAGTTCTGCAGGGGTTCTGGTACGTGGGTCTGGATACGGTCGGCGTGTGAATTGTGCTACACTTTTGCGGAGTGTAATCTTCATGGTGTCGAATTCTGGGCCAATGGGTAGCTGCGACGATGGTGGTAGGAGCAGCGTTAGCTGCAAGATCGCTTGCATCCTTGTCTGAGGCCCCCGCACGTGGGAAGCAGCTTAGCAAGAGGCAGCGGCGCTGAACATTCTACTCGTCAGCTCGACACCCTGCATCGTGACACCGTACGCTCGTATCTATGCAGGTGGCTCCTTTAGCAGCAGCAGATACCATAGCCAGTTTGTGTTTCAAAGCAAAAGCCGGCCAGGGGCAGTGCCCCCTCCGCACCTTGGGACCCCTGGGCATCCGACTCCGAGGACCAGCGAAGAGGGTTAGGGTTTTTCGGGTTGTGGGATTCGCGCAAGAGGATCACACCTGTCTTGCAGGGAAGATGTGTGCCGGTCGCTTTCTGGGCTTCGAAATGCCTAAGCAAGGCTTCTTCTGCCCATCAGCCCCAAAGCGTGGCAATCGACAACTCAGCCGCCTGGAACTTCAAGGAGGTCTGGAGGGTTTTCTCACTGTAACGGCTCACGACCCTGGGAACACCGTGGTCGCACACCGATTCTTTGGGTAGTACCGGATCCAGGCTCCCCAGTCGGACCGAATTGCCGCCAATCAGGAATCAGGTCGACACGAAAGAGCTTCCGCTTCTCTTGCGGTATGCAGACAGCCGTCTCTGTGTATGTCTTTGTGTGCCGAAGTGTGTGTCTCTGTGTGTGTGTGTGTGCGTGTGTAAGTGAGTCTCAGGGTTTCAAGAATAGTTGGGCTTCAAAAGCTTCAAGTCAGGGAGGGCTCTCAGTTCAAGCCTTGGCCTCCGCAGGAAGAGTCCAGAAAACCCCCACCAGCCGCGAGGTGGTGTTTTTTTCTGCGGTCTTTCCTTGTGGGTGTGTTGGGGGGGGGGGGGAAGGGGGGGGGGCAGGGGGAGGGGGCCCTTCCTATCTTCCTAAAGTTTTTCTAACCGGGAGCTTGAATTCTCGAAGTTCTTTGGGTCGGTAAAAACTTTCGGGTGCTGAGCTTTGCCATCTTTGCAAGCAGTTGGCGCAGTCTATGGCGCGTTGAAAATTGCACTGCGCGCGCGTTCAGCTGCTTGTCTACGAGCCCTAAGCCCCGAACCCCAAAAGCCCAAGCCCAAGCCATTCCAAACCCCACGGATCGAACTACCCGAAGCCCTCAAACCCGTAACCTGGTCTGCAGGCGACAGCCTCCAAAACAGCCAGTGCCGAAAGCAGCCTCAGAAAGGCGAGCAGACGAGCGTTGAGGTTGAATGGGTTTAGTTCTGTTAGTTCGGTGAAGCTTCTTGCAGATATGTCAGATATGTGCCCACAGCTACTAGCTCTTTCTCAGCAGGTCCGTAGTTTCGGGCGCCCAAGCCCTGCCAATTTCGCCCCTCCCCCCCTCAAGGTTTCCTCCCCGGGGTTCGCCATCCTCGTAGCTGTCGTCGCTTTTGGAGAGGATGGGCCCCCTGCACTTGGTCATTCTCGTAAGGTCTTCTTCGCGTTCCAACCGTGCCGGCAGTTCCGAGGATGGCCCTGGAACCCCGAAGCCCTATTCCCTGTGCACTAAAGCCTTACGTAAAAAAACAAGCCTCAAATCCAAAACCCTCATGAAACTCTAAACCTGAAATCCCAAACCCCACCACAACCCGACGGGAGGGGCAAGGAGGTGCGGGGGTCGGGAGGGTAATATATTGACGTGCTGGAGCAGAGTCCTTCGCATCCTTCGCTACTTCTACCACGCGGTATCGGCTCAGACCATCACCTTCATGTAGATGGTGCAGATTGTCCAGTATTTATACCTGCGTTCCAGGTTTGGTTTTTGGCTCTTGGTTTTGCCATGTTGCTGGAGGCTACCGGCGGAGGCCCCCTGCCGGCCAAATCCGTTGCTGGCCCGGGCAAAGACGCCCACGAGGTCCCCGCAGACAGTACGTATCCCACATCCAGACTACATCTTCACCTCTTCACTCCCTCATGACCCTCACTGTACGACCCCTGCAGGAAGACGCGACTCGACAGCCAGGATACCACCAGCACCGTGCAAGCGAGCGACATAGCCACTGGAGGGCAGGTGGCCCACCAAGGGCTTTTGCGCTTCGGAATGGCGGGTCTTGCTTTCACTTGGAAGGTTTAAATTGAAGGTCCTGCCCCTCAAGCTCGAATCTTCCAACCTCCAACTGTGAGAGTCTAACGTGAGCCAGGGAAAAGATAAGCATGCCCGTTCGTTGCCCTCAAGCCAATCCCTCAGCAAGGTGTCGCAGCAGCCTTCACCTCCTACCACCTACGTGGGATGCTCAGTGGGCAGATGCTACTCAGATCACGGCCGCCCTGCTCGCACGCCCATCGACACAATAACTCCAGTACTTGCCCTAAACCCTAAACCCTAAACCCTAAACCCTAAACCCTAAACCCTAAACCCTAAACCCTAAACCCGAAAGTTGTTACAAAGCCGGCCCCGGTGTCTCGCACATCTTCGGCTGCTCAGTCTCCAGACGACGTGCGGGCATCTCCATGGAGCACAGGTGCCGGAAGCGCTTGCATCCTCTTTGGTTTCTGGGGTTTTAGGGTCCTAGGGTTTAGGGTTTAGGGTTTAGGGCTTTAGGGTTTAGGGTTTAGGGATGTTCCCCCTTATACTAACAGTCCTGAATAGGTATTACACTAGGGGCTACTGCAATCCCGATTAAGGACCGTGAGTATAAGGGGCATCCCAACCCTAAACCCTAAACCCCAAAGCATGTTGAAGTGGCGCGAAATCCCCCATCCTACATCCCAAAAGGGTCTCGCCCTGATCGTCTCTCGGTTCTTAGGAATACAGAATCAAGGCAACTGAACGAGAAGAGGTTCAGAGCAAAATGCAGACAACAATAATAATAATAATAGTAGAAATAGTAAGAACAGAAACATTTATAATCATAATAATATTAATAATAATAATAATAATAATACTAATTATAATAGTAACGTCAGGTGCTTTCCCAACTTCGGACAGCACCACCCCCCGAATTTGGAGTATGGTAGCATCTCGTCACTTCTACCATATGTTGCGGAAGCGTTACTCCCTAAACTCTACGCGATTTTGCATTGCGCTTGCAGCCGATACTTCGATGCATTTTGCAACGCTCAGGTCCGGCAACCTTCTAATCCCCCTTGCAGCGCAAGCAGAATGCCAGCCCTAAACCCTAAACCCTAAACCCTGAACCCCAAACCCTGAACCCTAAACCCTAAACCCTAAACCCTAAACCCCAAACCCTAAGACCTCTCCTCCCTCCTGGGAGGCTCCCGCTCGCCCTCGCGGCCAAACCCGCTTCTGCCAAGCTCGCGCTCACCCTCGCAGACGCGCCAGGTTTCGGTTTCCGGGCGGGCCTCCTTCAAGAGAATACAAGGTAATGCAGTATAATATAATGTGATATCCTATAATGCAATCAAATATAATGGACTACAATGGAATACATTATTATTTCTATTATTTCTATTATTGTTATTATCATGATTATTGTTATTCTCTGGGTTTGTCGGGTTCTGCCTGCTTCAGTAGGTTCAAGGCCTTTTGGGCTGAATCTTCAGGGATCAGGGAGCACCACCCAGAGATCCTGTCAGGGCCCCTAAGGTCCCCGAAGCACAGCCCTGAAACCGTCCACCCAAAAGCCTGCAGCCTCGAAGCCCCCAAAACAGGAGTCGCGAATGCCGTGTTCAAACCCTCAAGCTGGCCCCTTGCGCACTTTGTGCCGCGGGCGCGTCGCGCGAGGGGGGGTTCTAAGGACACCTGCCCAGTGGAGCGCATGAGTTGCGTGAGCGAAGCTGGTACATGGGCTTGACTCTGCAATCTATCTAGGAGCATCGATGCGCTCGACTGCGACTTTTACATGTTGGGCTGGGCTATTGCCTACGCCATCATGGTCAGGATAAAGACAGCAGACCCTAAGCCCCAACGCCGAAGCCTCTCAAGCTTAAACCCTACACCCTCAGCCGTAAAACCGTGAACCCTAAACCCTAAAACCCTAAACCCTGCACCCCCAAACCTTTATTCGAACTACCGTGGTGTTTCAGACACGTTTGCAGATTGAGGGCACGTGCACGGCGCATTGGTTTTTACAATGTATTCGTCGTTCGGGTCCAAAAAAAATGCCCCCAAAAGGGGGGTAACAAATCTAGCGAAAACTACTTCGGAAATCGCACAAGATTCATATATATGTGGTTCATGACTCATGTGTGAGTGTGAAAAGATCAAGAACCTTAAAGGTTTCTTTCAGCACGTCGCTAAACTCAGAATCGCAAAACGCTGTAAATACCAGTGTTTTGGGCATGGTCGCCAAAAGCATGGACGCTTGCGACAGCGTGTCTTGTTCGACATCCTTGCGCAGCATGTTGTACAAAGTGATGAAAACGCTGTAAATGCCAGTGTCTTGGGCATGGTCACCAAAGGCATGGACGCTTGCGCAGTATGTTGTACAAAGAGATGAAAACGCTGTAAATGCCAGGGCTTTGGGCGTAGGCGCAATATGAGTGACGTTCTTATCCCCCCCCTGCCCCCCCCTCCCCCCTTCCCCCTCCCCTGAAACAGAGCCAAAACGAAAAATGTGGACTTTTAACCCACGGCCGAGTACGTGCCGTGGTCCAAAGTTTTCCCGAGAAAGCCTGGCCAGGCGACAGAGAGCGGCTCGATGACCCCAAGAGGTTCAAGGGCGGGCCGCTGTTAGGGTTCAGGGTTTAGGGTTTAGGGTTTAGGGTTCGGGGTTCAGGGTTTAGGGTTTGGTTTCGGGGCTTACTGTTGTTATGGCAGGGCTTCGGGATTCAATCGGGTTTCAGCTCAAAACCTGAACCCGACAGGGCTTACCAGCCGACATGCCAAACCAACACAGGAGTCCACAAAGAGCGGTCGGGCAGTCGGAAGAGGACCCCGGCGCAGATCTCTTTGGTGTGGACTTCGAACAACTACTCTCACGGCTAGAACCGTTGGGTTATCATGTACGATTGCTGTAACAATGACTACCATGACGGTTGTCATGTGCTAGTGTACCTCTTCAGGTAACTGAGATTCCTCAACCCTAAGCCCTAAGCCCTAAAGCCTAAACCCACCGACGGATCCGATGGGATCCAGGACAGACGGCGAGCGCAGCCCCAGAACACCCGAGACGCAGCGTCCTCGGCGTTTGGGGGTTTCCTCTCTTTGCCCGCGTGGGCCCTTGCTCCTTCTCTTGTGACATAGATTCCCATGTAACCTCCATGAAACAAAACGTGCACGTTTTGTATTCCTACTATAGCCGTGGTTGCGTGTTCTGAGTTTCAGGCTTCAGGTGATTCTCGTGGAGGGCTTCCGGATTAGGTCTTGTGGGCATTTCTGGCGAGAGCACCCCTAAACCGCAAGCCCTCAGACTTCATTCTGTGAGGGCGCGGGTCTTCGGACGTCGTGATTTCTCTTCTCACATGTAAAGAAAAATCAAAGAATGAACGACGCAATTGTTGCGCTTCCAGAATCCGAGATTTGCTCTGGGGTACTGCGGTAGTACCTGTTCTTTGCTGCGTTCACAGCAAGAGCGACCGCAGAAACGAGTGAGCGAGTTAGGATCCAGCTACATGCCGACTTTTTCTCTGTGTCTCCCTGTTGCAGGCCACATTTGGTTGACGGTCTTCGCGTTTCCGGTTGTTCGCCCGTTGTTTCGTTGCGCTCTGCGACAATGGATGTGTAACTCGCATCCGGAGCTCGGGTTTCTTGAGCAAGGTACCCTTAGTGGTTTGACAGGACCACATCAGACCCTAAACCCTGAACCCTAAACCCTAAACCCTAACCCCTAAATCCTAAACCCTGAATCCCCGTTTGCTGCAAGGACTGACCCGGCTCTCTATCTGCAGTCCTTGTTCCCGGAGTCTTCGCAGTCGCCGCCATCATCTCCCCCGAGTCCCTCTTTGACACGCACGGAGCAGCGGCACAAGGCCAGACGAGTGCCCCAAGCCTTAAGCCCTAAGCCCCTAAGCCCCTAAACCCTAAACCCTAAACCCTAAACCCTATTTTCTAAACCCGAATCCCCCTGCCGGGCAGAATCCTATGAGTCGGTGAGGCGGTGGCACGAAGTCTTTCTCGCCTCTTCTCCGATGATGAGTCCCTGGTGAAGCAGGTGACAAATTTCAGGGTTCGGGGTTTCAGGGCTTCCGGCGAACCCTAACGCTGAAAGCCCCGTGCTTGAAATGAAAGATACAGAATCCCCGAAATTCTGCTGGACAAGCAGAATGGAAGTTCTGGTATATATTCGTGAGGAAAGCAGACAAAGAGCGAGAAACATGCAACGAACAGATTAGCTACAAGACTACTGAGTAAGGTATCACATCCTTGGAGTTCACGCGCGTGCAAGATTGAGGCTGCCAAGGTCTGACTGACAGATAATCACAAAAACAATGTGGGGGATTCTGGAAAATTGGGATCTCATTTTGGGTTGCTATTAAAAGCCGGCCCCTAATATTGAGGACACTCAAACAGGGACCATCATGTACAGAAGTGACCACATAACGTCGGTGTACAGGAGGTGCCCGTTTTGCTTCCTTGCAGCTCTTTGACCACGTGTCTTTACCAAGTGCCAGAGAAAGGCTCCTTGTGATTGGATGGGTTTTTCATAGTTATTCCCCACCCTTGGTGTGGGGTCTTCTCCTCGTGTCCCTGGAGTGCCCAACCCCACGGAGTGCCCAACCCCAGAGTCTGGCTGGATTACCCAACGCCAGAGTGTCCGCGGGGTGCCCAGCCCCACAGTCTCCTGGAGTGCCCAACCACTTGAAGTGCCCATCCCAGAGTCTCCCTGGAGTGCCCAACCCCGGAGTGTTTCCGGAGTGCCCAGCCCGAGAGTCTCCCTGGAGTGCCCAACCCCCAGTCTTCCTGGATTGTCCAACCCCAGAGTGTCCTCCGGCCCAGAGTGTCCCTGGAGCAGAGTGTCTCTACCAAGAGAGGGTGGGGATGTTCGAAGTGAATTTTTTGCAGTGGTCCAAAATCTCAGTTTTCGAGTTTACCAACGGACTTTTCGTGAGCGAACGCTTTCGGTTGCAGATTGGGCTCGTCTGATCACGTTGCCCTTTTTGCCCCGCGAGACAGCGGAGGAGCCGCCGAAGAAAGCCGCGGCGCGACCGACAGCGAGCCGGCCGCCGGCTACAGGCAGCGTCCCGAAGCCCGTCGCGGAGGCGCGCCGGCGCAGCCTTGCCGTGCAGTGGTCCCGTGTAGCTGTTGTGGTTGCCGTCACCACCGTGTGGCACAGTCTGCGGGTTTGGGCGGGGGGACGGGCGCTTCGAGGTTAGTCTTATGGTTTGGTTTAACCCTGGCCCGCGGGTTTGTGCTCCTCCCCCCAAACCCTAAAACCAACCGAAGACTAGACCTGAACCGAAGCCCATTGGAGATTCAGGGCTCAGGGCTTCGGGGTTCTTATAGCCCAACTCGGAGGCCAAGTCGCGTGGACGATCGCAGCCGGGACGTCGGGTGACGGAATTGAAGGCCACTTCTTGCTTCGGGGGGCCTTTCTTGAGCTCTTGTCAGACTTTTCAGGGGGGCTTTTGGTGGGATATTGAGGAGGGTAGCCCCCTCAACAGCCCCCCCGAAGCCCGGAAGCCGCACCAGTATCCAAGAAGCCCTCCATACCCAAATCCTAAATCCTAAACCCTAAACCCTAAACCCTAAGCCCTAAACCCGAAATCCTAAACCCTAAACCCCAAGCCAGCCCCGCAGAGTCTCTGGCAGGCCGCCTCCGATGCGGCTGGAGGTGGGGTGCCTCTTGGCAAGGCGCGAGCCAAAGATGCTGGGGGACTTCAAAAACCGAGGGTTTAGGGTTTAGGGTTTAGGGTTTAGGGTTTAGGGACTTTCAGATAATCTCTTTTGTCAAAAAGATGCGCGGCACGATTTTTCCGGTGCAAGCCCTTGCGTCTGCCGGCAGTGATGCGGTTCGCATGACTCGTCGCCTCCTCCTTGTGCGTCCGCTGGCTTTCAGGCCAAGAAGCCCGCATCAAGCACCTCCCGGCCGTCCGGGGCTCAGAATGACAAAGCTGGAGGAGGTTGTGACATTTCGGGCAACCCGGTGTCCCCAATTCGCAGTGCTTGCGTGGCAGGCGCAAGACTACCAGTGCCAAAGCCGACATCTTCGTGGAAAGGCGCTCGCCCTGAAGTCCGGAGACGGCTCTTCATGATGGCCTTTCGGAAGGATGATGTATCACCACACATCACCTTGAGAACTCCAGGGAGTGTGAGTGGCCTATAAAGTAGCCCTCCCTAAGCGCTAGCACTAGGTCGGCGTGACTCAAGGTCTCAGAGCGAGTGTGGTCCTACGCCAGGCCCAAGCCACAGGTGCTCGGCCGTGGCAGCCCCCAAGCTTCGCAGGAGCCTTGTAAGGGTTTAAGGGTTTAAGGGTTTAAGGGTTTTAAGGGTTTAAGGGTTTAAGGGTTTAACGGTTTTAAGGGTTTAAGGGTTTACAAGGGTTTAAGGGTTTTCAAAGGGTCTTAGGGCCTTAAGGGTTTTTAAGGGTTTAGGAACTTGCAACGAATCCTGCAAGGACGGCCTGCTGCAACTTGCTTGAGGCTTCTAGGTGGTTTTAAGGGATGTACGTGTTCAGCAGTGCCTGCTTAAGTCCACAGTGAACAAATCCTTGTAATCTTGTGCAGCTTGTTGCGTGACCGGCTGCCATACTGGTCCAAGCTGACACTGACGCTGTGCTGTGGTACCTGCTTATCTGCCCAGAGAAGGACAGGGAAGGCGCCAACCCTAAACCCTAAACCCTAAACCCTAAACCCTAAACCCTAAACCCTAAACCCTAAACCCTAAACCCTAAACCCTAAACCCTAAACCCTAAACCCTAAACCCTAAACCCTAAACCCTAAACCCTAAACCCTAAACCCTGCTCAAGTTTTAACTTTGCTGATCGCAGTTGGACTTGCCAGACACAATGGGAAGCAGGTGCCGAGAGACAGTCCATCCGGAAGCACCTGGCAGGACCATGCCGGCAGACATCCCTGATGATGTTAAGCAACAGTTGCAACTCGGCTGGGGTTTAGGGTTTAAGGTTTAGGGTTTAGGGTTTATGGGGTTTCCGATTGCACGTGATTGACAGGTCTGTGTGCTTTCTGTCAGTATCTTATGCTTCTTTAGCAGGCGCCGCTACGGGCACAAAGAACACTGCCACCCAATAGCCTCGGGAGCTTCCTAAACTCTAAGCTTCCCAGCCCTAGACCCCAAATCCCAAACCCCAAACCCCAAACCCCAAACCCCAAACCCTAAACACCCTCACCCCTACACCAGGGTGCCTCAATAGGTCCATAGGTCCATAGGCCAGCGCCGTCCCAGGATGAACGACCCGAAGGTGCAGGCAGCTCTGCAAGAGCAGGCCCGGCCCAGGACGCGGAGGAACACGGAGCTTTTGGAGCTAGGGTTTAAGGATGTATAAGGGTTTATGGCTTTAAAGGGCTCAAGGATTTATAGGGGTTTCAGGGTTCAGGGGTTTAAGGATTTACGGGTTCAAGGGTTTCAGTGTTTGAGGGCAATTACCCTAAACCCTAAACCCTAAACCCTAAACCCCAGACCCCTCGACCCCTACACCCCCCAAAAGGCCGCGAAGACTGGCAAGGATGCCATGGCTGCACTGCAGGATCCGGAGGCCCACCTGTGGGGGGGGGCGCCTGGGGGGGCCTTGGGCGCCTTTGGGGGGGGGGGGGAGGTTTGCGTGCCAGTGGGGGGGGGGGGCCTTGGAGGGGCCTTGGGGGGGGGGGGGGGGGGGAATGTTTTGGGAGTTTAGGGTTTAGGGCTAGGGTTTAGGGTTTAGGGTTGGTTTAGGGTTTGGGGTTTTGGGCGTAGGGTTTGGGGCTTAGGGTTTGGGGCTCAGGGTTGCAGGCCTTTTTTTGGGCATCCGGGCTTGATAGGCTGGTATTTACAGTGCATGCAGCCTTTGAGCCCCTAATATCTTCAGACTCTAGATTAAGTGGCTGGTCTTTTTCCAGGAAAACATTTCAGAAATATTCAACCTTTCCCCACCCTGAAGGTTAAGGAGCATCGGTCTGGGGTATGTTGAGCTCAGAAAAAACCCCCCAAAATGCCATAGAGAGGAGGGCCATACATGTACTTGCTTCCAGCACTGTCTATTTGAGCCGGTTTGTATCTCCTGCTGTAGCCACTTGAACGCCACGACATCAAAGCACTCGCACCCCCCCTCCCACGCGCCCGCGCAGCAACAACTCTGTACTTCTTGAGTGCATCCAGAACTCTCAGTTCGCAAGCCCTGCGCAAATGCAGCTGCTGCTTCGAGACGATGGCGGACTGTAATCGCAGCCACTGCCAGCAAGTGTACCCGAGCAGATGACATGCTTGCATTGTTCGGATGTTCTGGTCGGTGCACTGGTAGCATGGACGGAATCATTCATAGTTCGCGAGCATGCAAAAGCCTTTCAATGATTGGCACCACCAGGGACATGCCCCCACAGGTTTATAGAGTAGCAGCGTTGCAGGGCATGGTGGGCAGGTGCAGAAGCAAATTCTGGCAACCTGCCAAGAGAAGTTCCCGCAATACGCGTCGCAGGCCAAGACGTGACTTGGCTGTCCTTGCAGTCGTTGCATAGTTTCTAGCTTTGTCTCCTTGGTGTTTGTATTCCCTCCACTCCAGGCCTGCCCAGGGCTTTTGTAGAGTAGAGACGTTAGATGCTATGACAGCTCCCGTTGCATGGGTGGCAACAGGCTGGCGGGTGATCATGAACCCTAAGCCCTTCGAAACCAGAACAGTGACGCATCCGAGGAAGATTACAGAGTTTTGCAACGACCCGGAGGTGGGTCTGCTCAGCCTGGAGCGGGTAAGTTTACAGAAGAGTTTATGGTTTGAGAAGTGTAGAGTTTTAGGAAGTTCGGGTTTGGGTGATTGCAGGATTCCTCTTTAATTAGGGCACTGTGGATATTCCATGCGAGCACTGACGTCAGGGCCTTGCGAAGGGGGGAAGATTCGTGTTTCTGGCGGCTTACGAATTGGATGCCAGATTCCCGGCCTAAGCGGGTTTAGGAGTCCTGCTCTCGTGACTTGCGAGGTGCAGGCAGCTGCGAAGAAGCATCCTCTCTGAACTCAGCCTTCTCAGAGTCAGGGCGCTGGGGTCGCTGCTGGGTCATTCTGGGAGCGCGAGTTTCGGGACTCAGGGTTTCGGGCCATCCCTAAGACCCAAACGCCAAGATCCGTTAGCCAAGTGCAAGACATGGGCATGAAGCCCTCAACCCTCAGCAGCACCCAGAATCCTTTCCCCCAAGGTATGCATCCATGGCTGGAGCCTATGTCATGCAGGCCTTCGGAGCTTGAGAGGGGCGAGTAGCGTACTTGTAGCTCGGGGAGAAGCTGAATTGGTTTAATTGGTTCCGTGCGGGTTTCGGGTTGATGGATGGGGGCGGGGGCGTAACCCACTAGAGTTTTCAGGTTCCCTGGTCAAAGCAACCACGCCAGATCTCCATGTCGCAGGAAGCAGCTGATACTTGCCCAACTCTCCTATGTGCATGCCTCTAGAGTCTCGTGCGTCTTGGGGTTCCTCTTGCAGTACGAATCTACGCCACTCAAAAAGGGGCCGTAATTTGGAGAACTGCCCCAACCCTAAACCCCAAACCCCAAATTCCCAAACCCCAAACCCTAAAACCCCCTAACCCTCCAAACCCCAAACCCCAAACCCCAAACCCCAAACCCCAAACCCGAAACCCTAAACCCTAAACCCTAAACCCTAAACCCTAAACCCTAAACCCTAAACCCCAAATCCCCAAATCCCGAAAAAAAGAGGCCGGGGGCCTCCTGGTGGCCCAGATCGAGCAGGGCCCGGCCGGGGTCCGCTTCCTTTGCTTCCTGGCCAGCCACCGGGTCCGCATTTGGGGGGAAGGGTTTAGGGTTTAGGGTTTAGGGTTTAGGGTTTAGGGTTTAGGGTTTAGGGTTTAGGGTTTAGGGTTTAGGGTTTAGGGTTTAGGGTTTAGGGTTTAGGGTTTAGGGTCTGGGGTTTAGGGTTTAGGGTTTAGGGTTTAGGGTCAGCACACAAGGGCTTTTTTTTGGGCGGACACTCCAGGCGAATCCTCGCTAGCGGTAGAGAGGAAATGCACACCAGCACCAGGAAGCGCGAGACGGTGCTCGCAGCCTACCTTGCCTGTAAAGAAAACTTCTCAAGGATCTGGGAATTTAGCTGCTCCACGCTACAAGACCATAGGGCCGCTTGTGGTTCAGAGAGGGTTTACGGTCGAGGGGTGTGTTCGATTTTTCTTTCTCAGAGGCTATTGATGAAGGCTTGACGAATTGAGTGTACCCTAAACCCTCAACCCTGAACCCTAAACCCGAAACCCTAAACCCTAAACCGGGAACCATGTGCTGTTCGCTGGGCTACCCGGTACTGGTACCGACCATCGAGCCCACGACAGCCCAAGCTCGAAGCCTTCACGCCCAGGATGCCAGGCCCTAAACCCTCAACCCTAAAACCCTAAAACCCTAAAACCCTAAAACCCTAAAACCCTAAAACCCCAAACCCCAAACCCCAAACCCCAAACCCCAAACCCTAAACCCTAAACCCTAAACCCTAAACCCAAGGCTCTCAAGCCTTGGGTCCTGCCCAGGCTGCTTCTCCGTGGCAAACAGCATCCTGAAGCTGATCAGCATCGCGCGCGCTGCCTGTCTGCATCGTGGAGGGAGAGCTTCTGTGCAGGAGGTCGGCATAGGGTTTACGGTTTAGGGTTTAGGGTTTTGGGTTTAGGGTTTAGGGTTCAATGCATGCCTCTGGTAGTGTGCAAGAAGTGGGAGCAATGGAGCACAGGCTCGTCTCCACTCTGCTTCCTTCTTGAACTGCAAGCCTGAAACGCTCTTACGCATATGGGGGGTTTACGATATTTGGCGGCGTACCATCTTGGGGTCCTTATCATAAGGCTATTTGGGGGACTATATTCGGGGTCCCGTATTTTCATAAACCCCCCAATATATGCCATCGCCTGCTATCTACACACGGCTCCCTGTTTGACGACAATTGCATCCCTCTCTTCGCAATTTCATCGCCGCAGATCATGCACGAGCCAGTCAAGTATGTCCTGTCGATGTACCAGCCGCTTGGGACAGCGCTAGCCTTTCAAGCGCTTTTTTGGGGCAGTGTTTGTGAGGCCGGGTGGTTCTTAGCACCCGCCCTTTACTTCGTGGCTTCTGTGGCTTCCGGCGAGGCAGTTTGGCATACTTCGCTCACACTTTACTGACTCAAGCCCCAAGGCCCCAGACTGGATCCCAAGCCCCAAGCACAGCCTCACCGAGGGTGATCTTCAGCCTCACGACGATGCTTTTTGACGCTCGGATCGTGGCAGACGTCGACGGCCTTCTTAGCTAAACCGGGAGCTCATGTTGAAACAGGGTCTCTAGTACTGCTAGTATAGCGAATGCACGTAGGGTTCCTTGCTTCGTGGTGTGCTTTAGATTTCCGCTCTTGCTCGGACAGCTCTTCGGAGACTCCAGGGATACTGGCAACAGAAACCTTACTTCGCTGACCATCCCACGAGGCCCAGAAGCCAATTCCACAAGCGGAAGAATCCAAGGAAGCACCGCCGGAGTACATCGCCAAAGTCTCTGGCCTGAGCGGATACCAGGACGTGCGCTGAAGGGCGCTCCAAGGTATTTTCACGCTTTGGTGGGCGTTGTTTGCTTTCTTGTTTCGGGGTTTTACCGTTGAAGCCCTAAACCCTACATCCCAAGCTCGGCCCTAAACCCGACACAACCCTAAACCCTAAACATCCCAAACCCTAAGCCCTAAACCCTAAACTCTAAACCCTAAACCCTAAACCCTAAACCCTAAACCCTTAACCCTACACCCGTAGCCGGGATATTGCACGGGTCTTTGTAGCATCCCTCTGCAGGATCTGCTTCTGGAGCCGCTCGGTCACACTTGGGCAACTTCCCCCCGGGCCCAGCTTTGAAACTCCGGCTTTGGGGTGTGTGTTTGGGGGTTTCGGTTAAGTGCGAATTGAGAGTTTAGGCTTTTTCTGCTGCCCCCCCCCCCCCCCTGCCCCAAACAAAAGAAGACGAGAATAGAAAGCCCTAGCCCCTCGAAGCCTCAATCTCGAGGAAGTGTAAGTTCCTCTCCGAGACGCTCGGGCGCGGGGGCTTCTACATCTTCCAGGGAACGCTCTGGCTGTGCTTCGCGTCGCTGGGCCAAGATATTCCCCAAGGGCTCTGAGCCCCTAAGGCCCTGAAACCAAAACCATGCGAACCCAGGGTTCTGTCATCCCTTCCCTTATTGGAGCTTTCCAACTGGTCTAGGGTTTAGGCTTTCAGGGTTTAGGGTTTAGGGTTCAGGGTTCAGGGTTTAGGGTTTAGGGTTTAGGGTTTAGGGTTTAGGGTTTAGGGTTTAGGGCAACAGTGAGGTTCAAGGAAATAAGGCAAGTGGGCTCAGGGTGGCGATGCGGGATACCGAGCCGATTTCGGTCTTGGTCTCGGTTTGCTGTGAGGCCAGAAATGCCAACCCTCCACCCCCCTGGGCAGACATCGGAATTGCTCAACACCTCAACCAGCCCAAAATCCTGGAACCCCTAAACATCTTCTCTGAACCCGAAACTGGCCCTAAACCGTAAACCCTAAACCCTAAACCCTAAACCCTAAACCCTAAACCCTAAACCCAAAACCCTAAACCCTAAACCCTAAGCCCTTCGAAGGTCCATGACAGACATCCTCGACTTGGCTGCCGGATTCTTCATGGCCGCATGGTGCAGAGTTTTGGGTCCAGAAAGCACAGGTTTAGGGTTTAGGGTTTAGGGTTTAGGGTTTAGGGTTAAGGGTTTAGGGTTTAGGGTGAAGGGTTTGGGGTGAAGGGTTTGGGATTTCGGGTTTAGAGTTCTCGCAGTCGCAACCCGAAACCCCAAATGCTAACCCATTTTCTTCCACCCAAAGCCTGCACATCATTAGACGGCGCCGTGCTGTACCATTTTCGTTAGTAGTTGCTCGAATCTATGCAGACAGGGTACAAGAGCAACCTCTGTGTCGTAACCCCTTCAGTTCCTCCAGAACACCCGGCTGTTGCCCGACCCCCCCAAGTTCCTCAGCCCTGAACCCTAAAACCCTAAGCCCCATGAGGTCGCCTGTGGCCTCTTGAACCTCCTGATGCACTTCGGAGGCCCTTCCCAAGGGAGCCGAGGCTTTCAAAGGTCGAGCCTTTGACTCGAAAGCCAGGATCTCATCATATCTCATCAGGGTGCCGGATCGATGTTGGGCTGCTGGGACAGAGCCATACGTGAGACACAGAAGAAGCGAGGCCATTCTCTCTGTAGAGCGCGGCAGCGATTTCTTAGGGATGCTTGGAAACGCAGAGGAACCAGTCCTCTGACAGCTTTTGCTGATCTGCTTTGTAAGACTGGAGCTGTTGCTTGGCAGCCCGTAACTAACCTGTCAGGCGTTCAGGGTCCAGGCTAAGGGTTTCCAGGCAGTTTCGTGGCTAACGCTTCAAAAGGTGGCATTGCACGTTCCACTTTCTTGTGAAGCAAAGTGTTCTGCTCAGGGTTTCAGGGTTTTAGGTCTCAGGGTTCAAGGGTTCGCAGCGGGTGCAGGCTTTGGGAGGCTCTTGCGCCCCAGTGCCAGGCCTTTCATCCTTCGCCCAGAAGGTGAAGGAGGGATACAGCGCAGTGGGCGGCAAGTGAGACCTTGAAGCTAGGGACCAGACGCAGGACTCTTTTTAAGGGTCAGATCCAGGTGCAGGCTCACGGTTGAGGGTTTGGAGTTTAAGGTTTGCATGCGTAGTTTAAGGTTTAGGGTTGAGGGGTGCTCCTTACTACTCTGCCTTGGTGATGTCCTCGGCTGAGCATGCACTTTGAAAGCTCCAAATAGCTTAGTGTGCAGCCGCACACGGATTCCTACCCTTGACGTAGACACAACGTGCGCATGGGCGTGGTCGCCTCACGTTCTGGCCTCTCTGCTTTGCAGATGTACTCGTGTTGCAGACGTTGCTATCTGGAGAAGGCCAGAAGATGAACTGCGGAACCCCGAGATCTTGTGCGTTTCAATTTCACCCGGTGCCTCTATGCTTGAAGAGGACGTGAGCTACTCATGGAGCACTTGTTTGCAGGGCTAGGAACATGCCCGGCCAGGTCTTAGCAGCCCTTGTTTTGGCAACGACAGTCCGAGGCCCTTGTTCGAGAAGTGTCAGCTGCCGCAAAGTCGCAGCATTCAGTGCGAAACAGCGCGATGCCTTGCAAAACGAAAAGGGGGGGACGCAGCGGCAAGCCCTAACTCTCACACGAAGAAAGGCAGCTTGGGGCTTGAAGTGTTTGAAGGGCTCTCGGGTTGCGTGGTTCATGTGCTGTTCTGTGTCTTGTTCTGTGTCTTGTTCTGCCATAGGCTGCCAGGGACTCAACTCGGTGCAAAATCGGATTGAGCCGTTATTCGCGACATGACTTGTCTCATCTGCTTCAGCTCTCTTGTTGTTAGACCGGCAGATCCCCCCAGTATTAACTGGAGCCTCGGACAGCCCCTGTTGTCAGGTTCAACCCCCAAACCCCCAAAACCCTCCAATCGCCAGGAGCTGGACTCCACAACCGCCAGCTCGGCGGCCGCAGAGGAGGTCACCCCAGCTGACTCTTCGGGTGTTGGGCTCCCCTAACCCAGCTCTCCAAGGAAGCCCAAGCCCGAGATCCCTGGCCCCTAAACCCCCAAACTCCCAAAAGCCCGGCAAAAAAGCCCTTTAGGCCCTATAAGCCCTATAAGCCCTATCAACCCTCAACCCTAGAGTTTACAGGGCCTAGGCTCCCTGGTTAACTACTACTTATTCTCGTTGTCGATGTAGGTGAGGGCCAACCCCCAACCCTGCACTCGGAAAGCTCGATCTCAAACGCGCCAGGTTTTAGGGTAACTAATACAACGTAGGGTTTATGGTTTGGGTTTAGGATTTAGGAGCATCTTCGTTTTGGGAAGGATTCCGAGAAGGCGCACCTAAGCCGGACAAATGAGCTCCTGACGCCTGGGCCCTGGTTGATTGGTCGATTGGTTGATTGGTTGTTTTGTTTCGGGGGGTGGGGTTCAACCCCAACAATTTTGCAGGTTTTCGTACCCAAATAGGTGTTCACAGTCTTGACCTGGCTTGGATATTGACTGACCTTGTGGGCCCTAAGCAAGAAGGAAAGGATCAACGTGCTATAGAGACCCCAAACGGGCCGTAACTTAGATTGCGTCTTGTCGGGTTTACCCGTCAGCAAGGAGCTGTGGTTGCAAGATGCCAAGCTTCGCAAGTCATGATGCAGAGACCAACGGTGTGCCCCCTCTTTGCGTCATCCTATGCTGTAGGACCTTTGGTCGTGATGATGAGTTCTCCTTTGTAGCCGAGTCGAGTCCACAGGACACGGGGAGAAACACAGGTTTAGGGTGTCTTTATGCCTAAACCCTAAACCCTAAACCCTGAACCCTGAACCCTAAACAAGAGTTACCCAAAAAAAGGGTTTAGAAGAGTCTATAAGGGTTATAAGGCTCAGCAGGGGTTATAGGGTTTTTACGGGAAGGATTTATACGGTAAAGCTTATAAGGCCTTACCAGAGTTTAGGAAAGCTTTCAAGCCCCCAAGCCTGAGCAAGTTGGTCTCCACTCCAGTACTGGGGTTTGGCTTCAGGGTTGAGGCTTTTTTTTCCCTAAAACCCTAAACCCCTAAACCCTTAAATCTGTACACCCTCAACCCTAAACTCCTAAACCCTAAGCCCCAAGCACTTGAGTTCTTCATCCCAAAAGGCCCCCAACGCCCTCCACCTGCAAATGTCCCTGAAGCCCACAGCCCTCAAGACTGAATGAGTCAGGTTCCAGGCACAGGATAAGAAATAAATACTGAAGTAAGAAAAACCCGCACAAACAATAACTATGAATATAGATAAGTAGAAAATATATTAAAACGTAGATAAATAAATAGATAAAAACAAATTTAATAAATATAAATATAAATATAAGTATAAATATAAATATAAATATAAATATAAATATAAATATAATTATAATTATAAATAAATAGGGTTAGGGTTTATGGCATGGAACAAAGAATAGAGAGTTTGTTTCTGGGGTTTTTGTGATGTGAACGCTTGCTCGCTTTTTGCCAGTTATTCATAGTTGATTTGCATGGAAGGTTGTGATGAATAGAGAAGCGAGAAAAGAAGACACGACAAGTACACTTCACAAGAAACCGTGCTAGCTTGATTGAGGGTGTCTTTCTCTTGGACATCTTGACTTATTCCCTTGCCCAGCTTTATGGACGTGGCCTGCTTGTGTTTCTGCCAGGTCCTTGTGAATTGACTGTTGCTAAGACACTTCTTTGCCGCTGTGTCTTGCAGACGTGCTTGTATTAAGTTTGAAGTTTCATCGCAATATGTTGTCTTTTCGCTTCGTGTTCATTCTGTCTGTTTTTTCTTTCCCTTTCTCTTTCCCTTCTCTTTCCCTTTCTCTTTTCTTTCTCTTTTTCTTTCTCCTTCTCTCTTCTCTCTCTATTTCTCTTATTTTGTTTACAGATTTGCCATTCGCGTCTTCTAGCAGCTAGCATACTGGATTAACGATTCGATCTTCAGGTGTCTCTTCTATTTCTTTCAGCATTACATTTCTTCAATCTGTTATTTGCTTCTTTGCTTCACTTTCTTATCTTCTTCTTATAGTTATAATCTGTAAGACTACTTGTGCGCCTTTTGTTAATGTCTCTTTCGCTTGTTCTTCTGTTAGAGTTCAAGCTTTCTAGTTACATTATGGAATACTCTGGAGGAGAGCCTTGAGACGCCCCCACCCAGACCGGCGCAGAAGCTGGAGGCCTCCTATGCAGGGGGGGTTGGGGGGAGGTTGTTCGAGGCTCCTTTTGGTGTAGTTTCAGTCTAGAAGCTAGCTACCAGTGCCATAAGACAGAAGCCCCTGTGTGCGGGTTGGCGATGCGTGTCTGCAGCCAAACTGACACGTGTCCGTGTGGGAGGTTGGAAACCCTAAACTAAGGCCTAAACCCTAAGCCCTGAACCCAAAGCCCTAAGCCCTAATCCCTAACCCTAAGCCCTAAGCTCTAAACCCTAATCCCTAAGCCCTAAACCCTCAAGACCAGGATAAATGGACCTGTATGTGGTATGATTATGAACTTACAAAGTTGTCTACACAGCTGACAAGCCGAGACACAAAGGCCTGGGAGGCCCCCAAACGGCAGGCCCCAAAACCAGGCCCGAAAAGGCCTAGCATAAGTCCAAAAGACAAGCGAGCACAAAGGCGGTTCGGGGGAGGCCCTACAAGGGCTCGAAAAGGCACCAAAAGGATCGAGAGGCCCCAAAAAAGGCCATACGGGGCCCCGAAAGGCCAAAAGGGCCCCGAAAGGCCCCCCCCCCCCCTCCCTCCGGACACGACCCGTATCCGTCTCTAAACCCTAAAACCTAAATCCAAAACCCTAAACCCTAAACCCTCAACCCTCAACCCTCAACCCTCAACCCTAAACCCTCAACCCTCAACCCCACATTCGGCCTCCCAGGTTCCAGTCTCCACCCAGCGCACGGCCTTTAAGGAGAAGGTGTTCTCCTTCGGGGCCCAGGCACACGCAACCCGAAGTCGCCAAGCATTTGGGTTTAGGGTTTAGGGTTTAGGGTTTAGGGTTTAGGGTTTAGGGTTTAGGGTTTAGGGTTTAGGGTTTAGGGTTTAGAGTTTAGGGTTTAGGGTTAAACCCTCAACTGCATGAACCCCATAGCCCCGAAACACCTACAACCTACGCCATAGTTAGAGCCGCAAAGCTCCTGAAGTAGGCCTCTAAAGCCTCCAAAGCCTCCACCGCAAACCCTAAGGGCCAAAAGCCCTCAGCCTCAACTTCAGTGCCCCTCCCCAAACCCTAAACCCTAAACCCTAAACCCTAAACCCTAGACCCTGGACCCTAAACCCTAAACCCTAAACCCTAAACCCTAAACCCTAAACCCTAAACCCTAAACCCCAAACCCTAAACCCTAAACCCTAAACCCTAAGCCGTTTGGTCGCCAAAGAGGAGGAGCCTGGCTTCCTCCACACCATGGAGAAGTCGCTGACCGCCGACCTACAGGCCATTGCCGGTGTGAGGCGTGTAGGACCTTTCAGACCTGAGTCCGGGAGGTTCCAACCCGAAACCCTAAACCCTAAACCCCAAACCCTAAACCCCAAACCCTAAACCCTAAACCCTAAACTCATTCCTCAAGCCCTAAACACCCAGCGCCGGCCCTTCAATCGCGATGAGCTGCGAGGCTTCGGCTCCAGTTCAGGCAGACCCCTTTGAAATCCGGAAGCCACGCGGCGCGGGCCCAAGCTGCAGTAAGGGGTTTAGGATTTTAACGTTTAGGGTTGGTGAATCTTGAATTGGATAGTGGCTAGTTCTTCACGAAAGTTGAAAGAAGCTAAGTTTGAGGGCGTACATCCTCCAGCAACGTGCAAGAATGTGAGAAGTCTGCGTGTTGGGTCGAGCTGTGCTTGCTGTTGCATGGGGTTTAGGATAATAAGAGACCCCCAATCTAGACCCCCAAATAGTAAAGGACCCCAACAAGGTGCCCCTACTATCGTAAACCCACGTATCGTGCAGCCACAAGAGAGCCATGTCCTCCAAGGTCGCTTTGCCGATGGTCCTATGCCGGTGAAGGAGAGTGGAGAGCATGGCTTCATTTGAGCCGCGCTTTGTGAATTTTCCTGGAAGAATCTCAGAAAGCCAGGGCTGTAGACCTGAAGAAATGACAGGAGAAAGTACGTGGACTTGAAACGAGTGCCCAGAGATACTTTCAAGCATGACTTGACGTACTGTGAGTGGTAAGAGCATAGCCAAGGTGGTGGAATCAGACCATAGAGGATGGAAACAAATTGAAATGGAGAGCGGTGCCATCAAGATAGGAGCACACGCAGCCGCATGCAATCTACTCGCCAAAGCCTTTCAGGAGGGCTCGGTCCCCCGGACACCCAACACAAATGTCTCTGGACCGCCGTTCAGTAATTCAGGGTCTTGCCTTTTGTTGGGCGACAGTGTGGCTTCGATTCGTTGCCTTGATAATTTCGGGAACCTGGTGTGTACATGTTTTTGTTGCACCAGTCTGTTGCGTTTCGAAGCATTGAGGGCTTGCAGTTTTTTTTCGGTTTGGTTGTTAGATTGTGAATTGAATTGTTGTTATATGTTACATTGCATTTTTCACAGACCCCTACGTTTTGCCGTCGCCCAGCTGTTTTGCATTGTCCCGTTTTTGGCGGACGTCATTTTGGGGTCGCGCTGGTACTATGGCTTTTGCTGGTGTTTGACAAAGTCCTGGTAAGCTTCATCCCTACGTTTGCCGTCGCGCATGTGTGGAAAGTGTGAGAGCATGACATCGGATCAGGTGTCGAAAACACTGTAATTTACGATCTCGAGGATGTGCAATCATCGTGCGGGCATGGATGCACTGGCCACTCCCACGGATTAGTAGCAAGGACGCTGGACGCTGTGCGACGGACAGCGTGGGGGCTGCGGGCAACTTTAGTATATCATCATGTTATTGTACGGTTAGCTTGTGAGATGACATATTGTTGTTTGATTACGTTATTCTCTTCTTGAATTGTCATACGTAATATCGAAGCCCGGCAACCCCTAAACCCTCAACCCGAACCCTGCAACCCCATGACCCTCAACCCCAAACCACCCCAAGCCCCCTCAACCCCAAACCCTAAACCCTACACCCCCCCAAGCCCCTCAAACCCCTCAACCCGAGGTTCGGCTCCCCCGCTTCCGCGAGTTGCCCCGCTGCCCCGTGGTGAGCCGGAAGTCCTTCAAGGCAGGGCTTTGGGAGGGTTTCGGGGGGGTTTGGAGAGGGAGGAGGCTTTTGGGAGGGTTTGGGGGTGTTTGGGAAGATTTTTTTTGTTTTGTCGGGTTTAGGGCTTTTAGGGGGGCTTTAGTTGAGAAGTGCGGTGGGGAGTGCGGAGGGTTAACTGTGCAGAAACGGACTAGTCACCACTTCCGAAAAGCTATTCTGTGGCACAGTTGCTTGGCGAGGGGGAAGGGCAAGAAGGGCCCGTGCAGCATACCCTAGACCCCAAAATCCTAAAACCCTAGGCCCTATTATCCCATGTACTTGGCGAATCTGATGTGTTCATGACCTGCCTCGGGGCAGAGATCGGAGTCTATGCCCCAGTGCCGTAGCAAGATGCATGAAGTTTTGCGCACCTGCATCCTCTCAGGTTCCTCAGTCCACTGACGGGAGTTGTTTGCCGCCTGTCTTTGTGAGGCATCTGACCGCATGCTTGGCTGCCCTGTGCCAGAGTACGCGGATGTCCTTCGAGTCGTTCAGGCACGTGTCGAGTGTGATACTGCAGGGTCCAGTTCTTTGACGGGCTCACAAGCATGTTCTGAACCCTCCGAATGCCCAAGACCCCACCTGATCTTGATCAGGCACAGCTGGTCTTGGGACACGGCTGGCCATCTGACATGCCCTCGACGTCAATCCTGTGTTCGCTGATGTGTTGGCGACTGCCGCCTGTTTATCTCCAAGGTGAGCTCAGAAGCATTGAAGGGTGCAGCAAGTTGTAGACGGGCCCTTCTGACAAATCCTTGGGCTGTGTACAAGGCACTCGCAGAGTCCACACCCACTAAACCGCTCAACTTTTCATCATCATAAACCCCGAAGCCCTAAACCCCAAACCCTAGCCCTAAACCCTAAAAAGCCAGCTTGAGTGCCAGGTTCCTGCCATACCTTCTTCTGGTTGCAGCAGCTCTTCTTGCCGCTGTCATAGGTCTGAAAATGCAGGCCGGGTTGAGGGTTTGAAGAAGTTTCTAAATGTGCCCAAAGAGGTGTACAACGGTTCCAATGGGCTTAAAGCAGTTTAGCTTCGGGTTCGAGGTTTTGTTTTGTGGTGCCCTTTTCCTCCCTCAACCTAGTTAAGGCCTTCGATCTTTGGACTTTGGACATCACAAACAGCAGATGCAGGTTTAGTGTTCGGGAAGCCCTTGGGACTGAATCCTGTCCAGCCCCCAGACAGCCTGAAGTGTGCGGCCGCAGCACCTTGACAGTCGCAGGCCCTGCCCCCACTTGGAGGTTCATGGTACTTACTGTACTTAGAACTGTACTTATAACCATAGTGGGGCACTTAAGGGGCTTATATAAGTGGGTTATAAATACAGGTATAATTTGTTAGTAAGTACCATGAACCTCCAAGCAACCCTGGACGCTTGCAGGCCTTTGTTGCTCTTGCTCCGCTGGCTCTGCTACTGCACGTGGCCCAGGCTGGCTGGTGCTGCCAGTTTTATTAATGCTGTCAGCCCTAAACCTCAACCATAAGCCCGTAATTGTAAACGCTTGCGCGCGCCGCCTCGGCAGCCGGGCCGGCCCCAGGCAGGAAAGGAGGAAAGAGGGTTTCACAAGACAAGGGCGGGGTCACGGGGGGGGTGGGGGGGGGGTGGGGAGGGTGTGTGGGGGGGGGGGGTGGGGAGGGGTGGGGGGGGTGGGGGCGGGTTTTTGAGGCCTCGCCCTGTAGGAGCCACCGAGAAGCGGGACCCTCCACGGCATCGGTTTGCAGCTCCTCCAAGGGATTGGGGGGGGGTCCCACAGGGCGGGGGGGGGGGGGGGGGGGGGGGGGGTTGGCATCAAAAAATTTTGCATGGGGGGAAGGGTTGGGTTAGGGGGAAGGAGGCCCGATCCGGGTCTGCTTGTTCCAGACGCTTCTCGGCAGGAAGCCGAGGCGAATTTAAACCCGGGCTCTCAAGCTATTTGTGGGCTCAGGGTTTTTGCGTTTAGTTAGGGGTTTAGGTTTTAGGCAGAGCCCCAACCCTAAACCCCAAACCCTAAACCCTAAACCCCAAGCCCTAAACCCTAAACCCCGAACCCGCTATAAACCCCAAACCCCAAAGGCCCAACAAAAGACACGAAACACCCTAAACCCTAAACCCTAAACCCTAAACCCTAAACCCTAAACCCTAAACCCTAAACCCTAAACCCCAAAGGGCCCGACAAACAGGAACAGAAGGACCTTGATTCTGAGTACCGATCCTCTGGAGGCCCTGCGGCGGGGGCTCTGGGATCGGCGATTGCTGGCGGCCGCAGGGGTCCTGGAAGGGGTCTTGTTTAGGGTTTAGGGTTTAGGGCTTAGGGTTTACGGTTTAGGGTTTAGGGTGTAGAGGTTTAAGGGTTGGGGTTCAGGCTTCAGGGTCCAGGGTTTGTGGTTTTCAGGCATTGGGGGCGCTAGGATGAGGGTTCGTGGGGGGGGGGGGGGGGTTGTTTAGGCGGGGTTTGATAGAGTTGCAGTGTTTGTTCAGGAGAGATCAGCAAATGGTGCTGCAACGTTGCTCGCATGAAATTAGGGTTTAGGGTTTAGGGATGTACGGTCTGGAGCCTCGGCTCAGCTTTGTCTTCAGAGCACCTCAAGGACTCAATGCCGCCCGACCGCGCTCCATATCCTCAAAACCCAAAACCCTACACCCCACACCCTAAACCCAGAAACCCTAAAGCTAAAACCGAAACCCTAAACCCTAAACGCCCTAAGCCCCTAAACACCCTAAACGCCCTAAGCGCCCTCAACACCCTAAACACCCTAAGCGCCCTAAACACCCTCAACACCCTAAGCGCCCTAAACACCCTAAACACCCTAAACACCCTAAACGCCCTCAACGCCCTCAACACCCTAAACGCCCTCAACGCCCTCAACACCCTAAACACCCTCAACACCCTAAACACCCTAAACGCCCTAAGCGCCCTAAACACCCTAAACGCCCTAAGCGCCCTAAACACCCTAAACGCCCTAAGCGCCCTCAACACCCTAAACACCCTAAGCGCCCTAAACACCCTCAACACCCTAAGCGCCCTAAACACCCTAAACACCCTAAACACCCTAAACGCCCTCAACGCCCTCAACACCCTAAACGCCCTCAACGCCCTCAACACCCTAAACACCCTCAACACCCTAAACACCCTAAACGCCCTAAGCGCCCTAAACACCCTAAACGCCCTAAGCGCCCTAAACACCCTAAACGCCCTAAGCGGCCTCAACACACTAAACACCCTAAGCGCCCTAAACACCCTCAACACCCTAAGCGCCCTCTCTGGGGGAGCTTTCCCGGGCGCGAGGTCGACCAGGCGGCCTCGGCGGACCTCCGGGATCAGCTAAGGGCTCCCCTGGGCTGGGGGGAGGAAGGCCCGAGCCTGAAAGGGGGTTCAGGGTTTAGGGTTTGGGGTTTGGGGTTTAGGGTTTGGGGTTTAGGGTTTGGGGTTTGGGGTTTGGGGTTTAGGGTTTAGGGTTTAGGGTTTGGGGTTTCGAGCAGGAGTTCTTTTCTGTGTTGGGGTTGCTTCTGTGGGGGTTCCCTGTGTAGAAGGAGTCTGGGAGTCCGATGGCCGAAGAGCACTTCGAAACCACTACTACTTGCCTAAGAACCCCCCCCCTGCCCAAAATAGAAGATACTAATCCCTGTATTTTGAGGCCCCTTATACTAACAGTCCTTTCAGGGCGTACTAAAAACCCTACTAAGGACTGTTTGTTCAAGGGGGAACATCCCAATCCATGCTGCCCTTATAAGGCAGTTTTTTTTTTTTTTTTTGGGGGGGGGGGGGGTTCTTAAGCAATCAGTAGACCACACTGCGCCCCACGGACAGAGTGTCAATCCTCTCAGTGATGGTCACCGTGGCGATCATCATCAGACCCCTTGTATTACCCTAAACCCGGAACTTAAAAACCTCACAAGGGACAACACGAGATTTAGAGAGCTGACCATCTAACTCGCGGCATCTGGGTCGTGCTAGCGAAGCAGGCCCTTGCCAACCAAACGCACAACCGGAAAATTGGAGTTGAGGGTTTGGGCTTAGGGTTTAGGGTTTAGGGTTTAGGGTTTAGGGTTTAGGGTTTAGGGTTTAGGGTTTAGGGTTTAGGGTTTAGGGTTTAGGGTTTAGGGTTTAGGGTTTAGGGTTTAGGGTTTAGGGTTTAGAGGTTAGGGTTTAGGGTTTAGGGTTTAGGGTTTAGGGTTTAGGGTTTAGGGTTTAGGGTTTAGGGTTTAGGGTTTAGGGTTTAGGGTTTAGGGTTTAGGGTTTAGGGTTTAGGGTTTAGGGTTTAGGGTTTAGGGTTTAGGATGTACGGTTTGGTGTTTACAGTGTGCTACTTGGAGGTCCATGTGTAATTCATTCTAGAGCCCCCACAAGTATGATTGCTTGTGCGAGTTCTGTCCAGAGTATTTATCCAGGGCATTTTTTTACCCTGCTTAGAACTTGCTTCTTATTCTGCATCTTTGGTTTCCTTTACGTAGAAACGCTGAACCCTAAAGACCCTATGAACACCCCAAAGCAGATGTCCGTGGTCAGCTGAGGTCAGGTCTTCTCCGCCAACCTCAACGCAGCTCTCCAGGCCGGAGACAGCAATCGAACCTTAGACCTTAAACCCTTAAACCCTTAAACCCTTAAACCCTTTAACTCTTAAACCCTTAAACCCTTAAGCCCTTAAACCCTTAAACCCTTAAACCCTTAAACCCTTCAACCCTTAAACCCTTAAACCCTTAAACCCTTAAACCCTTATACCCTTATACCCTTAAGCGACAATCCTGAACCCCAAGCCCTTGAACCCTCAACCCTGAACCCAGAGTCATTCTCATTTATCTATATATATATATATATATATATCTATGTATGTCAATCAGGTCCCTGTTCAAAAATACCGAAAACAATCACTTGTAAGTGAGGTTCTATGTAATTATGCAATGTTATATTCATATCAACAATGGATGATGTTGCGAATGAAGACAATAAAGAAACAATAACTAATGATGATAGTAAATCTGGAGAACAATCGAAAGAATTAAAAGGAAAATAATGGAGCCTGAAAACCTCCACTTAGCGAGGTGCCTCGAGATGCTACATGGCCTGAGGTCTGTTGAACACGACATTGCGTGCACGCGTACGACACAAAGGATGCAGAGCAAGCGTTGGACAATATTTGTATAAGGGTTATTACATCTGCTGCTCTGGGTCAAGGGTGCGGGTTGATAAGCATCAATATCTAGGGAAGCCATAGAGGGCGACAGGATACTGTCCTCCAGAGACTTCAGTGGTTAGGGCTCAGGAATCCATGGATTCGACTTCATGTAGGGTTCTACAAGCTGGTGTTCGCGCGGAGAATGAGGTAACAGCAGGAATCAAGAACTTTGCACAGGGCCTTTGCAGTCTGAAGTGTGAAGAACTGACATCTGGACACGCTGCTCGTCTACAAGTAGAGTCCCGTGCTGCAGATCTCATCGTGCCAGGCTGTCCATGCCAGTTGTATCTCTAAAAACCTAAACCCTACACCCCAAAACGTGAAGGCTTGGTGTTCGGGGTCTTCGGAGCTTGGGGGATAAGCCCGGGAAGGGGGTTCCAGGGAAGCCTAGGGTGGCTTGGGGAGTCGTGTGTTGGGTTGCATGACTTCCCCCTCCCTTAAGGACCCACCGACCCTTGGCTTGTGGTTTGGGGTTCTCTCCCAGTCTCCCGGTCGAGGCCCATGGAATTTCCGGCTAAGGCTTGGTGTTTGGGGGGTGGGGGGGGGGGTTGAGACTCAACCCCTCAACGTCCCCCAGACGCCCGATAAGCACCCTAAACCCTAAACCGTAAACCTTAAACCCAAAACACTAAACACTAAACCCTCAACCTTAAACCCTTAGCCCTAAACCCCCAAACAACCTCCAGGCTGTCAACTTGCCGCCCAATGCTCTGCTCCTCCCGGCCCCAGGTTCCTGCAACGTGTTGCATGGTTGTTTTTTCTTAATTAGGGTCCCTTTTTGGGTTTCGGGTTTAGGGTTGAGGGTTTCGGGTTTAGGGTCACGAATTCAGAGTATAGAGTTAGACAGTTTGAGGAAGAGGTCTTGCGGGGGAAAGCTCGACGCCTGATTTTGGGAGTTTGATGGTTCGGGCGTCCCGGCCACGAGACCGAATCGGACTGGATGCATACGCGAGCCTCGCCAATGAACGCTTCGCAACCGAAATCTTCGGTTGATAAACATAACATGACTAATCATGCAGTGCAATATCATTGCACTCCAGCCCCATTCCTTGCTCCCTGTGAGCATTCTTGTCTTATCAAGAAGCCGATACCTAGATATAAAACCCTGCTTCATATCGCTGGGACATCCAGGCCCAGAGGCCCTCGCCCTCAACACCAGACCCCCAACGCACGAAACATCCAAGCTAAAACCCTAAAACCCTAAAACCCTAAAACCCTAAAACCCTAAAACCCTAAAACCCTAAAACCCTAAAACCCTAAAACCCTAAAACCCTAAAACCCTAAAACCCTAAAACCCTAAAACCCTAAAACCCTAAAACCCTAAAAACCTAAAACCCTAAAACCCCCTAAAACCCTAAAACCCTAAAAAACCCTAAAACCCTAAAACCCTAAAACCCTAAAAAACCCTTAAAACCCTAAAACCCTAAAACCCTAAACCCCTAAAACCCTAATAAAACCCTAAAACCCTAAAACCCTAACACCCTAAAACCCTAAAACCCTAAACCCTAAAACCCTAAACCCTAAAACCCTAAAACCCTAAAACCCAAACCCTACAACCCTAAAACCCTAAACCCTAAACACCCTAAACCCTAACCCTAAAACCCTAAAACCCTAAAACCCTAAAACCTAAAACCCTAAAACCCTAAAACCCTAAACCCTAAAACCCTAAAACCCTAAACCCAAACCCTAAAACCCCCTAAAACCCTAAAACCCTAAAACCCTAAAACCCTAAAACCCTAAAACCCTAAAACCCTAAAACCCTAAAACCCTAAAACCCTAAAACCCTAAAACCCTAAAACCCTAAAACCCTAAAACCCTAAAACCCTAAAACCCTAAAACCCTAAGACCCTAAAACCCTTAAACCCGAAACACCTTTAAACCCTTAAACCCTTAACCCTTCAACCCTTAACCCAAAACCCTAGACCCAAAACCCAAAACCCTAAGCCCTACATGTTGTGTGCGAGGCCAGCTGACATGGAAGCGTTCCATGCTGTGCCGGCCCAAGCCTCTAAGCCCAAAGCCCGAATTCAGAGTTCAAGCCCGGTTTCGGGTTTCGGGTCTAGGGTTTGGGGTTTAGGGTTTAGGGTAACCTGAACCCTACACCCTTAGCCCTAAACTGCCTGAAGGTTACCTTGAAGCTTAGGTCCTAGTGTTTCACAAATAGTGCTTGTTTTCGAGGGACCTAAAGCCCTAAGCCATAAACCCTAAACCCTAAACCCTAAACCCTAAACCCTAAATCCTAAATCCTAAATCCTAAACCCAGATGCCAGGTTCGCGGTGCTTCTCCTGGTGCCGGGGGCGGGATTGCGCGCCTCGCGCGAAGCTCTGGATCGACCGGCGGATTTTCCGGAGGCATCGGCCTCAGCATAGAGGTTTTAGGATTTAGGGTTTAGGGTTTAGGGTTTAGGGTTAGGTTTTAGGATTTAGGGCTTAGGGTTTAGGATTTAGGGTTCAGGAGTTGAGATGAGGGGTCGGGTTTGGATTGCTCGTGCTGATGGGATGATCCTGGTAAGATGCAAGAAAGCCGATGTCAACCTCGAGCAGGGGTGCTCTGGTGAGAGCGGCCTTGCTTGCGCAAGCCTTTTACCCAAACCCCTAGAACCCTCAAACCCTAAACCCTAAACCCTAAACCCTAAACCCTAAACCCTAAACCCTAAACCCCAAGCAACCCCAAACCCTAAACCCTAAACCCTAAACCCTAAACCCTAAACCCTAAACCCTAAACCCTAAACCCTAAACCCTAAACCCTAAACCCTCAACCCCAAGCCTCCTCTCAATCAGAAGAGAGCAGAGCGAGCGAGAGGGAGGGAGTAGCGGGCCGAAGAAGCCGAACGAGGAGGCCCCGGATGCTGGGTCCATACTGGAGCCTGAAAATCAGCCCAACATTCAGTGCCATCCGCGTAGAAGAAGCTAGTACAATCATATTAAAATACATATATATATATATATATATATAATATAATATATAAGCTAGTACAATCACATAATATATATATATATATATACACTCGCCAAAATCTCCAGTCTAGTTACGACACGATGTTTGACCTTGGTGCGTCTCGCCGTCAGGTTGCTTTGGTAACGCTCTGCTCCCTGCTGCTGGTGGCGTTTGAATGCCGTCCTTCGAAGGACTCAAGCTGTATCCTGCTGTGCTCAATCTGCGGATGGGCTTAAGTTGGGCGGTTTAGGGTTTAGGGTTTAGGCTTTGGGGTTTAGGGTTTAGGTTTTAGGCTGTAGGGCTTAGGCTTTATGCAGCTTTAGCCTCCCCCGACTCCTGGTTGCAACCCTTTTCCCGCCAGCACCCGAGCCCCATGTATACCCTCGGCCACTGACCTCAAAACACCTTAAATCCTAAACCCTAAACCCCTCTTCTCCAAAGCAGAGAATCTCAACCCCGCAGAGCAGCCCGAAAACCCCCAGGAACAAAAAAAACCAATTGCACACCCTAAGCCCCCTGGATTCTATCCCAAATCCCGAAACCCTAGACGTTAGCTAATCCCTAAATCCTAAACTAGTCCCTGAACAAGAAGCCCTAAACCCTCAACCCGCCCTAATCCCTCAACTAGAAGCCCCAACTAATCCCTAAACCCTAAACCCTAAGCCCCAAGCCCTAACCCTAAACCCTAAACCCTACACCCTAAACCCTAAACCCCCTCCTCGGCTCGCCGAAGGAACTCAGGCGGTCGGAGCTCGTCGACCAGCGTCTCGAGGTCCTACAAGCCCCAAACCCTGGACCTAAATCCCCCTTGGAAATTATTTTCTTATTTTTGTTTATATAAAGCCCAAGAAAATATTAAACATAACATGTTTATTAAGGTTCTAAGGGGAGTGTAGGGACGTTTGGGGGTTTAGGGGTTTAGGGTCTAGGGTCAAGCCCCCCCAAGCCCTGGACCTAAACCCGCAGAACGGAGCTTAGGCTTCGTGGGGTTTGGGGTTTAGGGTCTCGGGGTTTAGGGGTGTAGGGGTCTCGGGTTTCGGGTTCGGGGTTTAGGGTTCAGGGTTTAGGGGGTTAGGATGGTTTGGGGTTTTGCTCTAGGGGTTTGGTTTTGGGGTGTTGCTCTAGGGTTTCGTTTTTTTTTTTTTTTTTTTTTTCGAGTTTTGGGGTTGTGGGGTTTTGGGTTTGGGGTTTTTGGGGTTTTGGCATTTGGGCGTTTTGGCCCACTCCCCATTGAGCAATGCAGAAAACAAGCAAGATGGGGGTTGGCCTCAACCCCTCTGGGTCTCAATTCTAAGTCTCCTTTTTGATGAGGAGAGTATATATAATCCTTTGCAGTTTCTTCCTGTGTGGTCTCCAATCAACAGCCTGATCGTTATAGTTTTGGGTCCCTACCCCCTAAACCCTACCCCGGTTCTTATTTTGGGCCTGAATCGAGAACCGGCGTTGGGGATTTTCCCAAACCCTGAACCAGGAGATGGGGACCCGCCCCTACAACGGTAACAGAGGAAACCCTTAAACCCTAAACCCTACACCCTCAACCCTGAACCCCACCACCCCAAGCCGGGTTTAGGGTTTAGGGTTTAGGGTTTAGGGTTCCTACCAGCCTCAAGTTCCCAGGCGCTGGAGGCTGGCTTCAATGCCATGCTCGACACCTTGCGACCTCTGCTCGGTCAAAGCGGCAGGCCTGGGGCGGAAGAGTTCGGGGGGAGGGGGCAAGATGAACCTGCTGGTGCAATACTCGCTAGAGCTATGCTTTGTAGCCCTAAACCCTAAACCCTAAACCCTAAACCCTAAACCCTAAACCCGAAACCCTACACCCTACACCCTACACCCTAAACCCTAAACCCTAAACCCTAAACCCTAAACCCTAAACCCTAAACCCTAAACCCTAAACCCTAAACCCTAAACCCTAAACCCTAAACACGTAACACGTAGCATAGTACCCTGACGAGTGTTGCGACCTGTGAAGAACTGCAAATGCCTGCCAGGCCCGCGTTCGCCACCCAAGCTCAGGCCAAGGCAAGAGCACATCTTGCGATGGAGGGACATAGAGACATAGAGAAGTACGTAGTGTAGTCTCCTTAGCCATGGTTGTCTCTTAGGTTAATTGTAGTGTTCTTAAGGGAGGGGGGTTCGGGGGGGGTATGTAACCTAAGGTTCCCTTATACTCCCCACTACTCCCTAAGGCTCCGTAAGCTTCCCTAACGTTCCCGAGGTACCTACCCCCCTCGAACCCCTGTCCCTTAAGAACCCAAAAATTGAAGCTCCTGAGCAGCCGCTCAGTCTTTGTTTCCGGCCAGAGCCTAAACCCTAAACCCTAAACCCTAAACCCTAAACCCTAAACCCTAAACCCTAAACCCTAAACCCTAAACCCTAAACCCTAAACCCTAAACCCTAAACCCTAAACCCTAACCTAAACCCTAAACCCTAAACCCTAAACCCTAAACCCTAAACCCTAAACCCTAAACCCTAAACCCTAAACCCTAAACCCTAAACCCTAAACCCTAAACCCTAAACCCTAAACCCTAAACCCTAAACCCTAAACCCTAAACCCGAAACCCTAAACCCTAACCCCTAAACCCTAAACCCTAAATCCTGAACCCTGAACCCTGAACCCTGAACCCTGAACCCTGACTGAACCCTGAACCCTGAACCCTAAACCCTAAACCCTAAACCCTAAACCCTAAACCCTAAACCCTAAACCCGAAACCCTAAACCCTAAACCCTAACCCCTAAACCCTAAACCCTAAATCCTGAACCCTGAACCCTGAACCCTGAACCCTGAACCCTGAACCCTGACTGAACCCTGAACCCTGAACCCTAAACCCTAAACCCTAAACCCTAAACACTAAACCCTAAGACGTGCTCGCGGCCCGTTTCAGGTTCCCGGAGGCATTGGTCAGCCGGCTCTGCTGGAGCGGTTTAGCGTGGGCACCTTAGCATGGAGCGAGGATCTCAACTTAGGGTTTAGGGTTTTGGGTTTTAGGGTTTTAGGGTTTTAGGGTTTAGGGTTTAGGGTTTAAACCCTAAAACCTAGAACCCCAAACAGCAAAACCCTAAAGCCTTATAGCCCTCAAGCCCCCAAACTCTAAACCCTAAACCCTAAACCCTAAACCCCAAACCCAAACCCTAAAGCCTAAAACCCTAAATCCTCAAGGCCAGTTCGCTGCCCAGGTGAGGCTGATTACCGCAGAGAGGTTCACGCTGCGGGGGAGCCTGACCATCCTCCAGGAGTGGAGTCCACGACCCTCCGCCCCCCAAAACAGCTCTTGTCCGAAACTCTACGGGGTTTAGGGTTTAGGGTTTGGGGTTTGAGGGTTTGGGTTTAGGGTTTAGGGTCCCAGCTCCTAAACCTTACATCAAACCCTCAACCCCAGACACCCCCAAAAGCCCCAAGTCCTACACCCCTCCAGGAGCAGTGCGGCATTCTGGTCAGCTGCCCATTGGGGGACTTTGACCTGGTGGCCAACGGCCTTGAAGGCTTGAACGGCTTTTAGGGGGCTTGGGGTTTCGGGTTTAGGGTTCAGGGTTTCGGCTGAAGGGTTTCAGGGTTTCGGGGTTTTAGGGGGGGTAGTGATTGGCCCAATACGCCATGCACAGCCTGAGACGACGGCCAACAAAACGACTCTTTCCCGAACCCCCCCCAACTTTCAGGGTTTAGGGTTCAGGGCTCATGAAGGCCCCGAAAAGGCTGAAAGCCCGCACGCCGCACCTCGCACCGTTTGAAAGGTTGAGGAGTTGAGGGTTTAGGGTTTAGGGCTTAGGGTTTTCAAGTTCCTCCAACTAACGGAGAATCCTTCTCGCAACCTGCCGGACGGACAGTTGAACGTGGAGCCTAAAACCCTGAGGCCCTGTACAAGAACCAACAACCCCGAAGCCGAAAGGCTCTACAGCCCTAAACCCTAAACCCTAAACCCCAAACCCTGAACCCTAAACCCTAAACCCCCCTAAACCCTAAACCCTAAACCCTAAACCCAAACCCCCAGGCGCCTTGCCTGCGGACCTGGGCAAAACGGCTGCCGGCGAGGGAGAGAGCATGGCGCTGTCGCCCCAACCGGCCCTTAGCCTGGCTGTTTGCCCTGAAGCCACAAATTTAGGGTTTAGGGTTTAGGGTTTAGGGTCTAGGGTACTCAAACGTCGAAATCCTAGGTACGCCCTTGGGACATGTCATAGTTTCCCTTTAAGGGGATCATCTTCAGGAATATGATTCAGAGGTTCTTGAGGGCCATCCTTGAACCAAAATTTTCCTGAGCGCTTGCGGGGGCCTGTGATATCACAGGGCACCTTAAGGGCCGGCCTGGGGTTTAGGGTTTAGGGTTTAATGTTTAGGGTTTTCCGTTGTGGGGGTTGTTGAAGGGCTTGAAGGGCTATGAAGTTCAAGTCACCCTGGAGTGCCAAGTCCGGATTCCGCCTGTGATTGCTCTTATGTAAAATTAGTATTATTGCCATCATGTATTGTTACCGCTATTACAATGATTAGTATTTTATCCTGATTTTAGTTGCTTCTTATTGGTATTCTTCTTACTATCGTTATTATGACTTATCATTGTTCTTAATTTGTGTTGCTAGCTACTATTGCTATTACTTCTTGGGGACCAAGGCCTCCGGATGGGCCGCCGCGCTGGCTGCTCGCTTTACGCCACTTGGCTGCGGTGTGCTGGTGTCCTAACTCGGGGGCGCGCGCGCGCGCGCCCGCGCGTGCCAGACTGGGGAGAGGAGGAAAACCCGGGCCCGCCAGGGGCCTCTGATAGAGGGGTCGGAATAGGTTACTAATAAAATTTCCCTGTGGTACCTTTGCAATTGTACTATAATAACCCCCAAAACGCTATTCTAATTATTCAGGCCACTATATTAGACAGGAAGAGGAAAGCAAGAATAGGAGAAATAAACACATGCAGAGCGAGTGAATACACGAGTCAAATGCAGAAGCGCAAGCCATGATAAGCCATGATCAGAGCACCAATCGTGCTCAATTCGGCCGAGCATCTCGACAAAGCCATCTTGCATGTTGTAGCCAGGGCGTCCGGCAATGCAGCAACGCATGTAGAGTGTCGTAGGAATTTGCACCTGCCCGAATCCCCCAAGACCGTACAGGGCCCTAAACTCCTCAACCCCCAAAAGCTGTGAACCCAAATCCCTGAGCAAAAGCTCAAAAGCTTCCTGGCCCTAAGGAGCCGCGAAGCGCGGCCGCGTCGAGACGACGATCTGGCGAGTGCTCTCTCCTCAGATTGAAAAACACCCGGGTCCGGGGCGGCGGTGTTCAAAGTGGATGTCTAGTACCATTCTTATTATTCTTTCATTGCTGTTCGCATATATGTTCTATGATTCTATGAATGATCATTATTATCTCATCTTCTTGCTATCAGTTTCTCGTGACTCTTGGTGAGTTTGGACTTCGATTGTCTTGGTATTGTTGTTTAATACCCGTCGTGATGACAAACCCTCTGCTACACCTGTGTCTTATTCATGGGGAACTCGGTCGCTACCTTCTTCCACGAGCAAGAGTTACTTTAGACCTTTTCGTCAAGGTCATGAGCTGTTAGGTCAAAGCAATGAACGACTGGCCATCATGGCTCTGGGCTATGTTGCTCTTGCTTGCCACCTGGGCCCTTCCCCAGGTGTCGACGGCCAGCACGCTCACGCGCGGAAAGGGCCAGGTCGATGAGGCTCCGCTGTTTGAGCAGGAAGCTTCCAGGGAGCTTGCACTTGAGACGCCGAAGACGCCCTAGTTAGCACGCGAACTTCAACATGAAGCCCCCTCTAAATCCTCCAAAGCCCTCCAAACCCCCAACTCCGCAAGCGCGAGTCAACGTCAAGAAAACCCAAGCCCCGAAGCCCCGAAGCCCCGAAGCCCCGAAGCCCCGAAGCCCCGAAGCCCCGAAGCCCCTAAGCCCCGAAGCCCCTAAGCCCCTAAGCCCCCTAAATTCCTGCGCCCCAAACGTCTTCCCCGCAAGGCCTCCCTTCACCTCGCGCTGGCCATGGTGGCTGCCCTCAGCCGCTGCGGGAGTCAGCCTCTGGAGGTGCTTTAAGACAGGGATTTTGGTGGATTTTGGGGTTTTAGGGGCTTAAGGGGTTTTGGGGGTTTTGGGGGGTTTTGGGGGTTTTGGGGGGTTTTGGGGGGTTTTGGGGTGGAGGGTTGGAGGGGTTGAGGGGTTTAGGGATTCAGGGGTTGAGGTGTTTGGGGCCCCCCAGGCCCTGGACCTCAAACCGCCAGCCATTCTGAGATCCCTGAGAACAGGTCTTCCGTGCCCTGGGCTCGGGCTCCGCGGTGGTCCCCCCGAAGGCCGGTTCAGGGGGAGGGATTAGGGTTGGGTTGAGGGTTTAGGGGCTTAAGGAGGTAGGGGCTCAAGAGCTTAAGCGGGGTTCAGGGGCCCAGGCAGCTGTTTGCACAACTACATGGAGATCCTGAGCTACCTTAGCTTTAGACCGAAGTGGGTTTAGGGTGTCGGTGTCTACTGAAGTTCCGTCGCTACCAGAAAAGCACCGGCTGTGGGTGTAGTGTGTGGATGATTCAGATTTCGAACATGGAACTTAAAAGCAGTATACCAACATATCAATAGGACAATAAAAACACATTAAAAAAATAACTGACTAAGAAAATAAGTAAGAACAAATACATAAATAAATACATAAAAAATTACATAAAAAATCAATAAACAATATTTTTGTACAGAACGGGGGGATTTCCTGAATTTCTGATTTCTTGACTAAGAAGCAGGAAGTCGAGCCAGAGTGTTGAGCTCAAGCTTTACGGAATCCAGAGTAGGCCCAACTGGCCAGGTCTCCTACGATGAGCCCTCCCTGGTCCTGGCGATGGCCGAGGTCCCCCACGCGCCCGAAACTCCTCCTAAACCCTCCCCCACCCCTCCTGCCCAAGCTGCCCTCTAACATGCCTGGGTCGGGGGTTTGCTCCAGGTTGGGACTAGCCCTAAAAAGACCTAAACCCCACAAGCCTGAAAACCTCAACCCTCAACAAAACAGCAGCCCCTCCTGGCCCCCCCTCCCCAAATGCACATGGACGGGGAACCGAAGTGCCGCACATCCCAACACAGTGACTGCAAACCCTAAGCCCTGCATAAAGTCTCAACCCCAAACCCTAATCCCGAACCCTAAGCCTTAAACCCTGAACCCAAAACATAAACCCCGAACCCGACGCCATAGACCCTGAATCCGAAACCCTAAACCTCCCGAACCCGAAACCCGAAACCTGAAACCGAAGCCCTGAATTCTCATGGGACCCTCAGACCCTTCGACCCGAACGGAGGATCAGCTGAGCTGCCATCCGTGCCACCAGGGCGCCATGCACCCGGACTGGGGCTTCCTCGACATGGGTTTAGGGTTTAGGGTTTGGGGTTTAGGGTTTAGGGTTTAGGGTTGGGGTTTGGAGTCCAGGGCTTTGGGCTTAGGGATCAGGGCTTAGGGTTTAGGGTTATCCTAAACAACCCCAAACCCTACACCTCAAACTCAAAAACCCCCAAAGCCCCTAACCCAACCAAGAACAAGTGTGGGTTTGGGGAGGATCTAGGCAGTTCGCTAAGTCAAGGTCCCTCTCATCATACCGGCTCTTATGGGAAGGGTGCCCAAACAGGACCATCATCATTGCAGAGAACCCCTGAGCCCTAAACCCTAAACCCTAAACCCTAAACCCTAAATCCGAAACCCTAAACCCTAAATCCTAAACCCTAAACCCGAAACCCTAAATCCTAAACCCCTTTTGTGAGCCCTCCAAAATCTCTGTCGCCGGGGTTGCTGTTTCGGGTTCCGCATCCCCAGGTGCATGGTTGCATGGTTGCAGAGTTCAGGGTTCAGGGTTCGAGGTTCAGGGTTTAGGGTTTAGGGTTGAGGGTTGAGGGTTGAGGGTTTCAACCCGAAGCCCGAAGCCCCAAACCCTAGGCCGCCCTGAAGCCCTCAGCTCAAGGTTTCGCAGGGCGGCGGCTGTCCGCACCCAAGATCGCCCAAGCCATGTTCCAGCTAGCGGGGGAGTCCTCTAAAGTATGGTTCCTTCGTTGGGGTTTAGGGTTCAGGGTTTAGTGTTCAGGGTTTAGGGTTTAGGGTTTAGGGTTCAGGGTTTAGGGTTTAGGGTTTAGGGTTTAGGGCATTATATGAATATGGAGCAATTACATTTAGGCACCCAGAAAGGACATCGTTTAGATCCCCCACGATTGCAGGGGGCTGGATGGCTGATGTTTCGCGCGGGATCTCCTCGGGAGCTCGCCCGTCGTTCTTGTTTACCATGGCCTCCTCTTGGCCAAGAATACTCTGGCCCCTAAGGAATCAATTTCTATTTTTATTTGTATAAAACCCAAGGGAATATGTAGAATGTTATTTTAATCAAGGCTCTAAGGGGAGTATAGAATAACTCCTGTGAGGGCTTAGGCTTAGGGCTCACAGGAGAGACGTTGTGGGATCGTCCTGCTGGCAGTTTCCGGAAAGCATCGCATGTGTTCAGTGCTCGCGTTTTGTCTGAGATGATAGCTGTGAGATTTGGCAGAACACCGAGTCTGTTGCGCAGCAACAAGTCCGATTGTTAGGCTGCCAGCTTTAACAGCACTTGTTAGTTTTGCCCCAGAAGTGTTTGCCGGCTGTCGCTTCGTATCACTTGTGTTCGGAGTTGGCACCCACAATCGCAGACGAGCAGTCGTTGCAGGGCGAGAGAGTGAGACCTGGAGAGCATGCCCACAACAATTTCAATTTCGGCGGGATGCACCCTGGCATTGTCATCCGCTTTACGTATGTGCTGCATCCTTCGTGCACGGAGACGCAGTCTCCTCCCTTAGCCGTCAGGCCAAAAACCAAAGCCATAAAGCCTGGCCACAAGACCCAGCGCACTCTCAATGATTTGCTGCATGCATCATTGGAATCATTGCATCACAGTTGCAGTATCTGTTACGCGCAAGGTGGAATGTTGTCTGCAGCGCTTCCACATAATCCGCAAGTTTGAGCGCAATTGCCTTGCTTTCATTTTAGCACATCGCCCTCGCTGACCGTGGCGTGTGTGTCCCCTACCCGTCGTAACGCCTCGCGCCCGAAAGCCCTATCGTTCCTTCAGTCTGCCCAGCTGCAGGCTTCCAGGGAGCAGGAGGGTTGGTCATCAAGGACCTGCAAGGATGCTTCATATCAGATATGTCATATCAGGTACCATGTTTGGGTGCAGGGTCTTGAGGTTGAAAAGATTTAAACTTAGCAGTTAGGGTTCGGGAGGTTTTTGGGAACTTTGGTGATTAATGCTTTGGGATCGCCCTGGCAGTCTCACTGGAAAGGACCGTTTCGGAGTTGTTCGCGATCCTGGGGAGATGCGCCAGCTCTGCACGGATGAGGCGTGGGGCTTGGGCGAGATTTTCGGCAGCTTTCCGATGTCCGGATAGAAAGTTTCATTTTTCACGCAATAGGTCCATGAAAATCTCATCCGAAGAATTCTGGTCACAGTTCAATCATCAACAGGGAGTTGAGAGAGGGAATGGGTTTCCGCCTGAAGTCGCCGCCAGTAGCAGTGTCTCATGATTGCCCCTCATCTACCAAACCTGCGGCCGAGGAAATGGGGCACTCTCTTTCCACTTCTTGGGTACAGGCTGGGAACATGTGGAAGCTGTTGGGATGTTCCCCTCATACTATAACAGTCCTTAATAGGGATTAGACTCCCCCTATTAGAATCCTTATGAAGGACTGTTAGTATACGGGGGAACATGAAGTGACACCCCTTTGCCTTACTTCCGCTTCTGGAAGCTCCGCTGAGAACGCTCGCGCCCCAAACCCTAAGCCCTACACCCCAAACCTAAAAAACACATCTGCTTAAGTATTGCTTCTTGTTGTTGCACCTACTTGTGTCTCCCATGATTCTTGCACCCTACTCCTTCTCAGACTAGAGGTGAGTCTTGAGACGACGAGGGGTTTAAGGGTTCGGGGTTTACGGGTTTAGCTCCTCGACCCCCCCGCCCGCCCCCAAGCCCCCTGAAGCTTTCCTAAACCCTAAAGAACCCTAAACCCTAAACCCTAAACCCTAAAATCTAAACCCTAAACCCTAAACCCTAAACCCTAAACCGTGCTCCTCGCTGCAGCTCCTCGTCAGCGACTCCCACGACTCCCCGCGGAGCTCCGCGGCTTCACAGGGCAGCGGCAGCGAGGAGCTTGCGGGGTGGTTGGGTTTAGGGTTTAGGGTTTAGGGTTTGGAGTTTAGGGTTTAGGGTTTAGGGTTTAGGGTTTAGGGTTTAGGGTTTAGGGTGGGCCAGGTTTTTTTTTTAATAAAAGGTGTGGCTCGGGCCTCCTTTTTTTAAAAGGTGTGGCTCGTCCCCCCCCCCCCCGCTGGTGGTCCCCTTGGTCCTCTGGTCCCCTGGTCCCGTGGTCCCCTTGGTCCCGTCGTCTGGTCCCGTGGTCCTCTGCTCCCCTGGTCCCGTTGTTCCCTTGGTCCCGCAGTCCTCTGGTCCCCTGGTCCCGTGGTCCCCTTGGTCCTGTCGTCTCGTGGTCCCGTGGTCCTCTGGTTCTGCGGTCCTCTCGTCCTGTGGTCTCGCGATCCCTGATCTTAATTTATGATAGAATGCATCATATAATGTAAAATATATAGAGTTGCAATGTGTGATATATATATATATGTATATTACATATAACATACAGTACATAGCATATAGTATACAATGGGGGGGCTGCGCCCCCCCCCCCCCCCCCCCCCCCAACCCCCGCTTTTGAAGCCGTGCAAGCTTGTTCCAAAGCATATGAACCTTTCATGCAAGCATTGAGTTTGCAAATGGGGGGGGGCTGCGTCCCCCCCCAACGCCCCCGCTTTTTTAAGCCGTGCAAGCTTGTTTCAAAGCATATGAGTCTTTTTGAAACCCATCATGCAAGCATTGAGTTTGCAAATGGGGGGGGCTGCGCCCCAACCCCCCCGCTTTTTTAAGCCGTGCAAGCTTGCTTCAAAGCATATGAATCTTGAAACCTACATGCAAGCATTGAGTTTGCAAATGGGGGGGGCTGCGCCCCCCCTCCCTTTTTTAAGCCGTGCAAGC